ACAGATTCAAAAACACCGTTCAGCTTTTATTCACATGCGATCTAACCTCATCACAACCTTACCTGCTTCCCCACGTAATGATTAAAAGATGGCTTATTGTCAAACTTGTTTCTTGTTATACCTTGACTGCACTAACTCTTCAACTTCAATTAGGTAATGCCTAAACGCTGGTAAATGTTCTTGTGAGGGTCGAAGTTATTTCTTGGCTGAACACTAATCTTACATCCAGGTCCACAGGCGCCTGTAACGTGAAAAATATTTCAAAAATACATGTAACATCAAACCATGACTAAGTATAGCCTATATGGGTAAAGTCTGTTACGTCCATGTTCGTAAGCGAGTAACACATGACACAATTATATGGAATACAAGTTACTTAAAGGATCAATTCTTAAGCGAGATTATCATATAACTGGTCTGATTCTAATTTCTAACTCAGGGACAAATAACTCGTCTGAAAAGGATTCTCTTTCAGTAGATATGATAATATCAAGGTGAGAAAAGGTTGGAATTAAATAATTGTGATCGAAGTTCACTGCTCTAGATTCGTCAACCAGTGGCAATACTCGCTGATTTTCCCGTCAAGCAGTGGCAATACTCACTGATTTTCGCTAGGTAGACAATCGAGTCTACGATGACGTTTGAAAATTGTCCACGTGACTTAAAGATGTCATCGTACATACTAAAACTTATTCTAGCTCGTTGAACCTCGTGAACGTTGACAAAAGTTATCATCCGATCTGTATGAAATTTATATGCATTATTTAAATTAGTAAAACGAAAAATACTGTCGACTTTCAACAACTTCTGTAAATTACTTCCAGAGTTAAGGCCCTTGTTTAAGTTTGTAGAATCTGGTGAACCCTCAAACGACGAAAATTATGATCTGGATGAAATTGTCTTGTAAATGCCCCCAATTACGTCGTACCTACAAAGATGTACGAGAACCCATTTACGAGAACCGATTTAACTGATGTGAGCTTATGTTCCGTTGCCTGGCAACCTATGTTTTGTAGGCCTACTGGATTTGTTCGTCCGGTTCCACCTTGGGTGATATCGCATTGGATAATAACAGTTTCTAATTTCTATCAATGACGATTTCTAAAATTTAAGAGTTTCTACCTATAACGTAAGAGTAGCCTATATCCACTGGCCTTATACGGTATCTCTAGATTTCCGTCATTACATGGAAGTTTTCCAATACTTGTAATAATATTGTTTTATTATATCTGTAACAGATACGGTGTCTATACGATTCATATAGTATAAAAGTAAATAAACTTTTAAAGTTTAAAAGTTTCATTTACTTTTTTATACCCGGTACTATATGGAGAATCTCCTACCAGTCTTTTTTGATATCAAAAAAGACGAGTAGGAGATTTTATTTATCACCCAATCCCTTCTTACATGCAGAAATAGACAAATATAATTCTTTGCTGTAGATTTTACTTTTACTGAACATTACGGCGTAGTGATACATCATTTTTTGACAGCAATTCAACCATTGCAAAGTCCTTTATATTAACCCAGTGTTTCCATCAAGGTCAATTGAATAACAATAGTTCATTTTTAATAAAACAAAAAGTTACTTTTAATAAGAAATGAACCGTTCTTTGAAAATAAAAAAAGGAGTTCCTTTTTAATTGACCAATCAAATTCGTGTAAAGCGATATCTCCTATGGGGATATCGCAGTAGATTATGAAATATATCACACAAGCGATATCTACTGTAGAATGTATTATTGGGTGATAATATTATAAATAAATGGGATAATACCACCAGTGTAAATCAGTCTGATCTCAAAACGGCAATACTATATACCGGAAAACAACCGGAAAACTACCATGTTATACTGAATACCGGAAAAAACTGGAAAACCACTAAATACCGGAAAACACACTTAATACCGGAAAACACCCTAAATAGGTAACAAAGAGCCTGGTCCTCTGTTTGCTGGGAGTTCGGGTTAGAGTTAGGGCTAGGGTTAGGTTTTTCCGGTGTTTTCCAGGGGACCAGCGGTGGGTTAGGGCTAGGGTCAGGTTTAAGAATTTGGGGGAGAGGTTAAGTCTCCACATAAGCACTGACATAGAATGATGAAAAGTTAGTTCGTAATATAGTTTTATTAAAAATACATACAATACATTAGATTTATATACAAAAGCGATTTCACTGTTTTTTGGTGTTGGTGGCGCTGATGGTCTTTCGTGGATGGTACTTCTGGTATTCTGGTATTTTTGTTTCTGAAGAAGAAAAAGAATAAATTTGATGCTCTCGGGGGAGAGCCACATTAGTGTGTTTCCTACTACAGATTTGATTTTTTAAAAAATCGTGTTTGTTGCACATCACCGGGTTAGGGCTAGGGATTCTTATATCTAGTTGATTTTATTTACTAACGGTTGGGGATAGGATTTGATATATGGTTTGTTTTGGGTTGGGGGGGGGGGGGGAGACTGGTCTTATTTAATCTAATTTACTGTGCACTAGGATGTCGTTCAGATTTTTATTTTTAGAATATGCAATTATAAGTTTCTGTGTGAATATTTTCGGGTGATTTTCTTGGAGATCAGTATAGTGTTTTCTGATGAATTTGGATGCACTTGCTGCTGTTGCGCTAAATGGAACTACTGAAGGGGCTATATATATGGTTTGTTTTGGGTTGGGGGGGGGGGGGGGAGACTGGTCTTATTTAATCTAATTTACTGTGCACTAGGATGTCGTTCAGATTTTTATTTTTAGAATATGCAATTATAAGTTTCTGTGTGAATATTTTCGGGTGATTTTCTTGGAGATCAGTATAGTGTTTTCTGATGGTTTTGGATGCACTTGCTGCTGTTGCGCTAAATGGAACTACTAAAGGGGCTATTGCGCTAGCCGTATGAATGTTCAAACCTAGGGGAGCTGTTGTTTTCAATTTGTCAATCCAGAATTTTTCTCTTGTTAGCCTAAACGTTTTAATTTCTTCTGTAGTTTCAAAGTCGCTCTTGGCCTTTTCTATACAATGAGATCAGATATGCCATGATTTGGTTGGTTGAAATGAATTGAGACCGGTTTGTCTTTTTTGGTGACTATGTCTGATCGGTGACCGTTAATTGTTTCCCTAAGTGCATTTTGAGTCTCCCCTACGTATTGCTTGTCACATTTTCTGCATGAAATTAGATAAATTATGTTTGAACTACTGCATGAAAGTTGGTCTAATATTGGGAATTTTGTGCCAGATGTTTTGTTTTGGAAATGGTCGGATATGTTTAAGATTTTGCATGTTTGACATCTTGGATGGCCACAAATTTTGGTTTTAACTGCTGATTGTATATTATTTGTTTCTTTGGCGGCAAGCTCAGCGAGAGTGTTGTTTTTTATACGTCGTAGATAGCGTTTGGAGTATCCCCTTTCCCTTAGTTTGCTAAATACCAATGTACATGCTGACTCAAAGTCGGTCTTCTGAGTACATATCCTATGAAAACGGAGAATCTGAGATTTTATGATGCCAGAGAATGTATGTTTTGGGTGAAAGGAGCTTTTGAACAATAATTGATGTGTGTCGGTTTCTTTGAAAAATACTTTAGTTTCCAATTGGCCTGTGATTTTGGTGTTGCTACCTTTAAAGACGGTGGTGTCAAGAAAATCTATGCTGTTATGAATTACATTAAAATTTGAGGTTAATTTGACAGATGGATGATGATTGTTCAGAATGTTGAAAAACGTCCAAAATTCGTCTAGTGTGTACGACAAGACTACGAAAACGTCATCTAGAAAGCGTCCATAGAAATCTGGTTTTAATGGACAGAGCGGCAGAACTTCCCTTTCCCACTCCGCCATGAAGAGGTTTGCATAACTCGGGGCAAATCGTTTTCCCATCGCAGTTCCGGAAGACTGGAGGTATACTTGGTGTTTATTGGTCACACCGTGTGTAGTGTGGTTTAATCCCAATAATTCAGTTATTATTATTTAGTATATATACCCGTCCACAATGCGAACATTCTCTCTTGTATTTGGGCTGTCTACATGCATGTTTGAATGTACGTATGGGATGGTGTAATAAATCTATATTTATGTTAAAGAAATCGGAATAAGTTCGTCGTTCGTTTCTGGAGTTTTACGTCCACTTCCACCTAAGGTGAAATCGTAGACAATCTCGGAATAAGAAATTCCATACTTTTATATTTGTGTTAAATGAAGCCACGAAATATCAAAGGAGAGAGAGAGAAATGGGGTTTAACGTCCACTCGACACAAACTAGGTCATTTCGGGACTAACATATGGTTTAATTTTATTTACATAATTCGCTTGCGCGTAGAGGTCAAATATCAAAGGCCTTAATCTTCCTTTGGAGGTGAATTAATTGATAATTTCAAGCCAATCATCAATTTGTATGGTTTCCACTGATCGTACGTGTGTAGAACGACTAATCACTAAAAAAAAAACAACGGCAACAAATCACGAACGAAGTATCAATTTCAAGCCAATCAACTTAGATCCGTTGATCGTGTAACTACTGATCACTAAAACAACAGCTAATCACGTCAACAAGTATTTTATTAATGACAAAACTCTAATCAAGTACATAATATATTTTTTCCTGTACTGACCAGTGGTCAGGAACCAACTCACACTGCAGGAAGTAGATATAGTTTCGTTGTTAAGGCAAACATCAGTTTCGGACATGCGCAAGTGCCCAGGAGAAAACACACACCAGGAGTCAACTCAAACTATCACACCGGTGTTCACCGGTGTTTTCCGGTATATAGGAAAGAGCTGGTCATATTGTTGATATGATAAAAAAAGTCGCATAAAATTTACATGGAAAATAATTACTTATTTATGCATTAAATAAATGTATTTATATTCTAATATAAATATTTTTAAGGAGGGTAGGCCTACATAACACTAATGTACGAATAAGTGTCAAATAATAAATATTAAGGCCACCTGCAGATTTCGCCAAGGTCACGTGATGTATCGGGGCTAGCGCTAACTCTAACCCACAATCTCGTACCCTAACCCTTTTACTACCATGACGAAATCTGCAGGTGGCCTTAATATTTAGACCTGACCTGTAAAGTATAAAGGGCAGATAACTCTATTAGTCAAAATGGAGGCGTACGATTGACTGTCAAGAAACAATTCAAGTAAAGGTAGAAAAATGAAAACCTACAAATTATCGCTTCATAGCAAGACACAAAAAGGTAATAAGAAAATATGCACGTTCGTACCGGTACCTTAAAAAGACACATTGCATAAAATCTAAAACTGTATAGGCCTGAAATATGGGCTTCTGGCGCGTTCTCACGGTTCTGGGCCTCATGTAGCTACGAGAAGGTAGCTAAAAACGTTGAGATATACTGATGTGTTTGTTTTTAGCTACGATTGGATGCCTTTAGTTCCAAGTGGCAAACTCAGTTTAAAATAAGATAAGCTTATGCTATTATGATTAATAAAACTTACAGATGCCAATGTAGTGGCACAACTGTCGCCTAACTCCAAATATTCGCGTTTAAATTAATGAAGCGTTGTTTTTGTCCGACGTTCACCGCCATCGAAATCCATTCATAGTTGCAGCACAGAGTAAAACTGGTTACAGTGCTTTCGATTGTCCTTTTGATTGGCTGTTATAAAAGCCTTATATTTAGCCCGCCTTCATGATGACAGCGTATCATTTAAAAAGATGGCGGTCTTAGTAACGGCTTAACGCCTCGTTTTTAAAAACGACGATTTGTACCCGTTTCAGGTAGGATTATATGCTTAATTGTAGTTGGCTGTTGTAGAAATATTATAAATAACAATAATCAATCATTGTTTTGATTAAAACTATTGTCAATTTTGTTTAAAAATACCGGGTGTGAATCGCTTCCGGAGCTGCAACGTTATAGGTCATGGCCTCAGTTCTTAACTCGAAACACGGGTTGAGAGATTAAGGTTTGTTATCTAGGCTTCATGAAGAAATGGCAATACAGAGTACGGTAGAATGCTGCTCCAGTTGGGTATAATTTATACCCACTGACACTTGTGACCGGCCAACTGTCGTTTGCAGTATGTCTGATTTCAGCTACATCTCGCACGTGGAATGAAAAAGGCTTACAAATTTCCGGCATGCAACCTAAAACTTCTTGTCTGCGATATCCATGGCTCGAAATGTTTGCCTGTCTACGTGACTCGCCGACAGGCGATTTTTTCGTCTGACAGGTAGCAAATAAAACTACCTGTCGCTTGCGACAGGTGGACTAAATTTTACTTCATGTTCAGTAAATTGACCACAATACTCACGTCCATGTCACGTACATTTAATTATTTGTTTCTAAATGCAAGAATTAAGCAAGGAAATATCGCGAAAAGCCACCATTTGCACTGTTTACATTTCGCTCGCTCGTAGAGCTCGTAGACAATTTTATATCAATGAATTTCACACCATCTATGCTTGTTTTCATCTGCTTGACACTAGTTTATAGCATTATGGAGTATTATATCTAAATAAATTAAAACGCACCCCGAAGTCACCTGAAATAATTCTACCGTCACGACACCACAGTAAATATATAGTAGTGGTTGGAATGGAAATGCACACGGCTCGTTGCTTGGTGTATTTAATCATTTAAAAAGTTTTAAACAATTTCCATAAATAAAGGCTATGAATAATTTATAAGACAATTTGACAAAATCAAAAAATCAGGTCGGAAAAATATTTCATATACATTGTATAAATATAATTTGTAGCGTAAATATAGTCCGGATATGTGAGAATGGAATTCCATGTGGCGTTATGTCCTTCGCACGCGGTACATGTAAATACGGTGCCATGCACAGGTGTGATTTGTGTTTTGATATTCAATTTATTACGGATATTTTAAAATCTGAATTCTACAACTCAACGGTGAAGTATTCGATTTAGTACGGAAGTGTGGTACCATGATACTTTGCGGAATTCACATGGATACGGATGATAGAATTGTACGAATCTTCGAGTCGCTGAGCCAAAGCAGATTCGCCAACTTTCAAGAACTTTTAGGCATTCTGATGTCGAAGAAATAAAAAGGTTTCATATTACGATATTTATATAGAGCAATGTACGTCAAAGACCAAACCACGTGTGTGTGTACCTACATGTATGGATATGTGTGATGTGATTAGTCTTTGAGTTTGATAATTGAGAGTGACATGTTATTTACTGAAGCGACAGGTATGAAGAAAAGCTACCTGTTACATGTACCTGTCGCTTGCGACAGGTAGCTTTTTTTAAACATTTCGAGGCCTGGATATCACTTTGGTGGAAGCGGACGTTAAATAGAAAGCTATTTCACACACACCTAAAACTTCAAGCGTGAAGGAAATAAATCCATGCATGATATTGATAAAAGAGGCGATAATTTGGGGTGGCGTGTAATTTCAAAAAAGTACAACTGAAATTCGAAATTGTGGCAACCACTACATGTAACACACCTACATTAGCCACACATGACAACTCGATTGGGTCAATTTGACTAGCTCACTGAGTCACTACTTACTGTTATGCTAATTGGCTCCCTTGTTGTGGATCAACAACAGATTACGGAAGACATGACAGACATGGACCTTATAATACATTTGGAAGTTCGCTAAACCTGCAAAAATTGTATTTATTACATACCAGTAATAAAAATTATCGGTACTAACAAATCAAGTGAACGGATCTGCCCGGTTTTCAGTCTCAATCTTTGAGTGTTCGACGTCTTCACACTGTGTTTATTAAATTATTTTACACTATTATCATGATTATACTATATCTATTCTATTGGATCACTTATAACATATGTTACTTATGAAATGATAATCCACTCCCTTTTCGCCTGACATTGAAACAACCCAAAAAGCAACAACTCTCCGGCATGTTGGTACGGCAATGTAGGCAAAATCTTCCCAGTTGTAAAATGGCGGTGAAGCCCCATTGTTGGCACATGATCATGTGACCACAATACACTCTAGTTTCCAATATATAGCTCTATGGGTACAGATTAAATTTACTGCGTGCAAGGTAAAAATGTTGTGCCGCACATGGCATCCGAATCTAAAGAAAATTCGTCTGCACAGATCTTTGAAAAAAATTATTTGTGTGTGCACCAGAGTTACCGGACATCCTCTGCAGACTGACCAACTGTCTGATGACTGAGCCATCATAATTTGAAACCAAGGCCTTTCTGGTTAAACACATATGGATCAGACTTGGTACTTTACTTGAGGGAGATTTTTATACGTCCACATTTTCATGTGGTTAAAAACAAAGTCATGGGTATCACAAAACCATCTTTTATAGTATCAAACGTTTCGTAAGTCTAAAAACCTACTTCTTCAGAGAATACAAGCTTGTATTCTCTGAAGAAGTAGGTTTTTAGATACTATAAAAGATGGTTTTGTGATACCCATGACTTTGTTTTTAACCACTCCTACTACTGGTGTCACCGTATCAAGTTTATTATGACTTAGATCCCATCTAAGTTTATGTTATTCAAATGGTTTTGGATTCCTCTCTCTTTATATATTTGGATTCACATTTTCATGTGGACGTATATTGTCGTCGCCCCTGTCCGTCCGTCCGGACGTCTGTCCACAATTGTTTGTGAACAGTCTACAGGTCACAATTTTTATCCGATTTCAATGAAACTTGAAATATAGGTTTATCACCCTAAGATCTCGGTTCCTTTCGATATTGGCATGTATCGTACTGTAACTTCATGGATTATGGCCCCTGATTGTATGAAAAATCACGCTTTTAGCTTGTGAACACCGTAGAGGTCACAATTTTTATCCGATTTGGTTTAAACTTGAAATGTATGCTTATAACCCATAGATCTCGATTCCTTTCGATAATCGCTCATATCGGACCGTAACTTCATGAATTATGTCCCCTGATTGTACGAAAAATCGTGGTTTTAGCTTGTGGACCCTATAGAGGTCATAATTTTTATCCGATTTAAAAAAAAGTATTATTATATCACCGTTAAACCCTAAGGATGGCTGAGTATGAATTTCGTGAAAATCGGCCCAAAACTGACAGACAAAATGGCCGCCCTTCGTTCTCAAATAGCGTAAAAATATGATATATCAAGGTTGTGGACCCTATAGAGGTCACAATTTTTATCCCATTTTGTTGAAACTTGAAATGTAAGTTTATAACCCAAAGATCTTGGTTCCTGTCGATATTTGCGCATATCGGACCGTAACTTCCTGAATTATGGCCCCTGATTTTACAAAAAATCGCGTTTTTAGCTTGTGGATCCTATAGAGGTCATAATTTTTATCCGATTTAAAAAAACGTATTATTATATCACCGTTACACCCTAAGGACGGCTGAGTTTGAATTTCGTGAAAATCAGCCCAAAACTGACAGACAAAGTGGCCGCCCCACGTTCTCAAATAGCGTAAAAATATGGTATATCAAGGTTGTGGACCCTATAGAGGTCACAATTTTTATCTGATTTTGTTGAAACTTGAAATGTATGTTTATAACCCCAAGATCTCGGTTCCTTTCGATATTTGCGCATATCGAATTGTAATTTCCTAATTATGGCCTTTGATTGTAGGAAAAATCACTTTCGTTTTAGCTTGTTCTCTATCCATCTCTCGAAAATGTGGGCGTATCCTGCCTGGCAGCTGCTGGTTGACATAATTAACAACATAGCACTTTTATTTATTTCAGATGCAGATATTTTACTGAATCCTAAAGAATTCCCAGATATTAATCTTGGAGATGTTGTAGAGATTTACGACCAAGCAGAGGCATATAGGTCTGTAATGTAAACTAACCTAATATTTTAAGGGCATTGATGCTATAGGTTAATTCACATTGAATATCATTTCTAACTAAGATTATAGAAAAGAGAATTTCAAAAATAAGTGTAAAGAATTTTCAAAGAATAGAAATTTATCTGGATAGATTGTTATTATGTCAGAAAAACAGATTAGAATAAAAGACATGAGTAGTATTAAGAGTAGATAAGATTATTGTTACCATGACAAAATTATCAATTTTTATACTCGCACATGAAAATGTGGTCGTATATTGCTGTCGCCCCCATCCGTCCATACATTCGGCGTCCAGACTACATGATCTTTACATCAGTGAGATGAAGAAGCCTATAGATTTGATTTCAATCATTTCTGTTAATTTTTTCTGGAGTTCACTTTGTTGAACTTTTTGAATGCTCTAACGACAAAAGTTATCTTCTGATCTGTATAAAATTTATATTTATAAAATTTATATGTATCATTTAAATTAGTGAAACGAAGACACCTATTGAATTTCAGCAATTTCCGTTAATTTCTTATAGAATTATGGTCCTTGTTTCACTTTGTTGAACCTTATGAATGCTCAAATGACAAAAGTCATCATCTGATCTGTATGAAATTTATATGAATCATTTAAATTTGTGAAACAAAGAAACCAATTGAATTTCAGCAATTTCCGTTAATTTCTTCAAAGTTATCGGCCTTGTTTCACTTTGTTGCATATTGTGAATGCGCAAATGCCGAATGTTATCTTCCGATATGTATGAAATTTATATGCATCATTGAAATTAGTCCAACAAAGAAGCCTATTGAATTTCAGCAATTTCTGTCAATTGCTTGTGGGGTTATGGTCCTTGATTGACTTTGTTGAACCTTGTGAACATTCAAATTACAAAAGTTATCATCCAATCTGTATGAAATTTTAATACATTATTTAGATTAGTAAAACGAAAAAGCCTGTCGAATTTCAACAATTTTTTTAAATTACTTCCAATTAATTATTTGAGGCCCTTGTTTCAGTTTGTAGAACCTTGTGAACCCTCAAACGACTAAAATTATAAACTGATCTGTATGAAATTGTCTTGTAAATGCTCCCAATTACCTACAAAAGAATTAATATGGGACAGCATTTGTCAAACGCTCAAACGATTTAGCTGCTCTGGGGTATATATTGTTGCTTGTTGCCTGGCAACCTTTCTTTGTATTAACTCCACTTTTACTGTATTATCTGATTTCAGTCGCCTTCTGTTACAAGTCAAACAGGTCAAAGATGTTAAAGATGAATGTCCACAACAAAAAGGTAATACAAAAAGTTAAATATGAGTAACTTTATATAGTCTATTGGATGAGGAACTGTCTAATTATTTATTTGCCAAATAATATCCAGGTCCAATTATAGACAGTGCAGTCTTGATTGCAATTCCCTAACCACACAGGTAGTCGTGGTGGCTCAGAGGATAACATTCGATGCCCATGTTTTCAGGATTTTTGACATGTTTTCTCCCCCATATCAATGGTGCAGTACTGGCGGGCCTTGTAAGGACATTGTCTAGTCATTCACATGATTCGAAAAACCAATGGTCAGTATACACTTTGGCATGCACATAAAATAGCTCTTCTCAGTTGGAATTAAGTTGATGCTCGGTCAAAGTTTCTGGCATAGTACAGTGTATGGTGTATGTCAGAGACTGCCAGTCTTCATTAGTCCTAACCAGAATTAAAGGAGGACAACAGGTAACTTGTATAAAGTAATTAAGAAAGATAAACATTTGTTTTTTTGATTTTTAAAATTGACATCACTGGACTGTATAAGCTTATAGCAAAATGTGATCTTGTTTGTAATTAAAATTATTTAGAAGCCATCAGTATTGAACAGTCAATTGCAGCTGCCTTTCACCTGAAAAATAAAGATGTTTATGTAAGCAAAGTTAATCCAAAGGTAAGAATTTAATAATGATTTACAAATATGTTCTTGTATATATTTGACTTAATTATTTTCAGAGCATTGTCTCTTGATATATTTTGCAGTATTGTGATGGCCTTAGAAATGATACTATCTTAGATATTTTCTTTTAAACAAGGTTTACCTCACAACTGACCTAGTTCAAGCTCATTTGTAATTGACAATAGATTTAGTGGATGGCCAGTGAATAATTGAGTAATTTTATAACAATCGTTGCCTGTCAATAACATCATGTTAACTGTGCACAGAATTTGAAAGAAATCTGCTAATCATTTCCTCAAATATAGACATTTCAAGTACTAATCTATAATTCGTAAACTCTTTATGCCCATTTTCATATAATTCTGCAAAGGATGGCACAAAATAAATATTCCTGTAATAATTAAGGCCACACCAGTTTGAATTTCAGTTCTTCGGGAACATTTATTAAAATTTTGCCTTAAATTTCTTCAAAAAAAAATCTGGTTTAAAAACAAAAAGTACTTAGTTGCTCTTTTCAAAAACTTTTAGCTCCAAATATTGAAGATTTGAAATTTTAACAAAACATCAGACACAGGAATTGAGTGCATTGTGTATTCATCCACACATCGAAAAACTAAAATTTAAATTGGTTTGGCCAAGTTTACTGGTTTTGTTTTCCTAGCAAAAGTAAAATTCAAAAATTTCAGTAGAAAATATTAAAAGCGAAATGACAGTAGATATGTATTCTAATCTGTTTTTTTATGATGATGACTATTATAGGATGTGTCATTAGATTTGGTAGAGTTATTGTTTAAAGAGCAGTATTTCAGCAGAAGTGACATGTATCGAATGTGGAAAAGCCTGGTAAGTTTTCACAGTTGTTAATACATATACCAGTGATGGGATTTCAAAATTTTTCTTGTCAGACATTTTACCAAAAATAAAGGGGTATAACTCATATCGTTATTTAAGCAGAAGAATTCATACAACAATTAAAAATCACATATTGACAATATATTCAAATCCCGTACATAATAAAAATAGGTGAACCTCGCTATTTTTCATATTTAATTCCCGTACGGTATTCAATTCATACCACAATTAAAGATCACATGTCAACAAGATATTCAAATCCCATACGTAATAAAAAAATAGGTGAACCTCGCTATTTTTCATATTTAATTCCCATACGGTATTCAAATTTATGTCAGTAACATTCCTATAAAATTAAGCATTGTAATACAGTTAACCTCGCTTAAGTCGGATTCGTATAAGTCGGATCTTTGCTCAACTCAGATAAAATCGTTTGGACCCTTTGATCCTGCACGTTTTTCTTATTTAATTTCTGGCGTAAGTCGGATTTCCTATGTCGGATCTTCGCTCAAATCTTCGCTTGAATTTCGGTCTTCGGCTAACTCGGATCTTCGCTGAAGTTTACTGTACATTGAATGAAAGCTTGCTGATCCTGCTTCTGCATCAAATTCACAACAGTAAAATTCCTTCAAAATTACTGTGTCTTCGTTTATATGGCAGCAAATGAATGCTGAACTTCCGAAATAAGAATAGTATATGATGTCAGAACATCATTTTTTTTTTTTTTGCTTTATAAAATGTAAACAAAATACTCAAATCCGTGCATAATAAAAATAGGAACACCTCATTATTTTTCATATTTAATTCCCGTATGGTTATGGTATTCATAAATATGAGTCTAAAATTCCTACAAAATTATGTGTTTTCGTAATACGATAGAATGAAAGTTTGCCGATCCGCACCTGCTTCAAACTCAGTCAGTAATATTCCTTCAAAATTATATGTCTTGGTTTATACGGCAGACAATAAAAGAAAAGCGTTTTAAATAATAATACTTGTTAAATCACCCGTAAAGAGGCATGGCTAACTTCACCATATGGCCTACGTGACTCATAGCACGTAGCTTCATAGTAAGCACTGCCTTATATTTTAAGCAATTTTCGTGCGGCAATCGAGATCACGGGAAAGTGCCACTGTGGATGAGAATTTCTATATGGAGTCTTAAAAGACGTAAAAGATATCGCAGACAAAATGACTGTCCATTGATTTAGGGTGTTATATACTCTTACGATATGTGACATCTATGACTAGTTTATAGATGCTGTCGCTCACATCAATGCTATAAAAATGCCTGACAATGGAGAAACCATGAGGTAAACACATAGATTAAAATTATAATCACTCTTATTGGATTGATGAATAGTCCAACTGAACACTAATGGTGTGAGTGAGATGTGTCTATGATTTTTTCAATGAAGGTAATATTTTAGAATATTATATGCTTTGTGCTAATTATGGACTTTCATTGCCTGTTACAATTTTTCATTATATAAAATTAAAAAATATATATTTAATACTAATATTAGGTTGACAATTTTAAAAATCAATAAGTATATTTTATTTTCAAAGGGTTATACCAGAATATATTGTGTTAATAAATCGAGATAAAAGGGGAACATGGGGCATTTCTGATAGTTCAATTTAACTTCAGTGGGAAATCAAAAATAGAGAATACATGGGAACTGTTTGTATCTACATGTATTTGTGAGCATTAGTAATGTTTTTGTATATGTTTGTGGTGAATAAAAAATAAAATAAAAAAGTTATATTTTGATTAAAATATAAAAATTAACCTAATCAAAATTGGGTATTCTTATTAAATTTGTGACCTGAATATGCATCGTAATTGATATCATATTGCAATACGGAGAGAGAGAGAAATGGGGTTTAACGTCCACTCGACACAAACTAGGTCATTTCGGGACTAACACATGGTTCAATTTTATTTCAATAATTCTCTTGCGTGTTGGGGTCTGTAGCAGTGGGGGGAAACCGAAGGACCCGGAAAAAACCCACGAGGTTGGACAGGCAACCCTACTCCTTGTCACATACAACCGGGGAATCGAAACCATGACAGTTTACTCAAGGACGGACCATATGATATAGTGCTCACATGCTAACCACTCGGCCATCCAACCCCCTCGTATATTGCAATACATTTATGGCGATAGATATATAGTGACAGTACTAGCTTGTATTAATTACGTGTTTAACAGTTACAGTGTCTGAATGTCCAAAATAAAATATTCTTTATATATTTACTATTTGTATATGTATTGATTATCAGATTGGAGGATGTGTTTATTTGAATAAAAAGGTGGAATACACAGAAATGAGGTAATAATTGATATATATTAATTAGATCTTTTTGGAGAATGTTCAATTTTGTATACATGTAGGTACTTATTATCCCGAGGTGGAAACACCTCATTTTACTCATTTAAATGTTACCAAGTAAAGAATACATACCGATATCGCAGATTGGTTTGGTTCGTTGCATATGGGACTTGACTCTTGAGCGAAACCACATTAGTTAGTATCTATTTCATTCTTGGTTTTATATAGAAATTATTTTATTGCAGCCAAGGATTGATTGATCATGTCATTTGACACTTTTTTTTTAATTTTGATAATTCACACATTTTTTCACTTATTATGTTGTCTGTTTATTAGGTTTGTCATATACTGTACATGTATTTATGTTTGTGTGTCAACCATTTCATTTGCAAAAATGTCATGGCTAATTAAGGTAGCTATATTTGTTAATGGTACCAAGTTAACTGGGTACAAAGTGAAGAAGTAATACGGTACTGCTACTATATTTTTAGCTGAAAACATTATGCAATGGCAGTATTCTTATATTAATTTGTTTGATTATAGGGCTGAAGTAGTTGAATTATGGAGTAAAGGAGAGAAAGTAACATGTGGTGTTATATCAGATACAACCAGGGTAAATATATCACAATATATCACCATTATGAAATACAGCTGTAACTGCCAGGGTTTGATCCCAGTGTTGGGTGAGATAGTTTTCTAGGATTTTCCAGCGTGTGCAAGACAAAGTGCCTGTTGTTCAGACGGGACAAGAAACCGAGGTCTTGTGTACATGGTGTCGTGCATGTAAAAGAAACGTTGACTGTTGTTAGAATTTAATTACTATCGGAGCAAAATTTCCCTCATCATAGCTCACTGTATGGTGTAGGGCCTACATGTATGCCCTTCTTCATTAGTCCAGTATCAATTTCTTAATAAATTTAGCGTTTTAATGACTTGTTTTCTTGCGATGTGTCCTAGAGACAAGCAAGTATTATCGAAAGTTAGCATATTGATAATAAGAAAGAAAATAATTTTAATGGTATGTTTTTATATATAGCATATATTTAACAATTAATCTGAGATTGATCAAGTAGTTAACAAATACAGTATATTACTTGAAAATTAGTTATTTTGTTGTCTCAGATTTAGTATTTTCATATTTTCAGGTAGTCTATCGTTCTTCCACAGCTGTTGTTCAAATCTTTATCCAAATGTCATCTGAAATGTGGGATTTTGATATTAGTGGAGATCTGTATTTTGAAAAAGCTGTTAATGGTTTTCTTACAGATCTGTTTCTCAAATGGAAGGTAGGTTTATTGTACATCTGCAGATCTGTCAACCTGTCTGCAATCCAAATTCTGCACTCCAGAGGCTACAATTATTGTTCAGTCTTTCTAAAATATATAAATTGTTATGGAATTGTTACGTTATTGAGGGGAAGAATCCTATTAAACTTAATTTAATGGTCCCTTCCAGATTTATGTTTAGATGTTAGAATATCATGGTGGCATATAACAGAGGCTACAATTATAAATCAGCATTTCTTTAATTTTCATGGAATTTACCAAATAAGACAGATATCTTGCCCTATTTTTTATACGAAATCTAATTTGTGGGTGTTTTGTATTTAAAAAAATATTTGGTACTGTATAAATAAAGCTCTTTATGAGACATTGCTTTATGAAATAAAATGAAAAATGGACTTTTTATTTTTATTACAGGAACAAAATTGTTGTCATGATGTTACTATAGTATTATTCTCTAGAACATTCTATGATGTACACTCGATAGGTATGTCTTCCATTTTTAATATGGCATAATAGTGATCAGCTGCCTTCTGTTTTCAGACACTTTTTTAATTGTACTTCTGATGATAGATATTTTATCAATGAAACTGTGAGGAGTATGATTTATTTATATAAATATTTTTTTTTCCGGAAAATACTATTTTCCTTTTTCTTTTTTATAACTAATAATGGTCAACAAAGAAAAATGTGTATACACATGAGCACAGATTCTTGCGTTTATCTCTGGATCTTTTATCACAATAACTCGTGATTCCATTTTATTTTCAGAGGAATTTCCAGAACATATTCGAGATTGTTTACAAATTGATTGTAAAGGAAGAATATATGAAGATTTTTATAGGTAAAATTAACCCTTTCAGCTTGTAATTGACTATATGAAATGATCAGCTTGTATTTTCATAATTCATGTTATAAGATATCAGAGTAAAAATATGTTTTCCAATATTTTTCAGAGTGGTAGTTCAGAATGAAAGATATATGTATGAAGAATGGTCAAATACGTTACGAGATTTACGTATTCTTTTTAATAAATATCCTGATCGTGTCTTACATTATCATCGTAAAAACAGAAAACATATACCCATGGGATATAACTCTACAGCTGCTCAAGGCAACTTTCTAGAAACTCTAAACATGTCTTTAAATTGTGAGTATATATACATTTGTAATTCTTAATCATTTAAATTGTGTTATTTATTTTGTTACTTCTGTCTAAAGATCATATATGTGTGTGGTTGTGTTATTACTTTTTTTAAGCTGTTTGACAGGAGATAAACATTTTTAACTTAAATAACTACATGCCAGAACATTGACATAAACATATTATAAAACTTGACATTCTAAATATTAAAACATTACTGTCTGAACAAAATGTATAAGAATAATTAATAAATATGTTAGTATATGTCAGCCTCGGAATGACAAGGGCTGTTACTATACACCATGGTATCAATTGTCTAGATATTTTACCCTCCAAGATGTTATAGAAGATACTAGTAGCTATTTTTCAAAATGCATGTCAGATGTTATTTTATTGATAATAGGCATGTCATATTTGATATTTCCGTATCTTTTCTTAGAACAATGGTATTGCTCTCCTAGGATTTATTCATAAAACACCTTCATAATCACATATTCAGCTTATACAAAAAACATGATGAGCTATAAACAAAATGTGTATTGGTGGTTATATTGTTAGGTATGTATTGCCCAGGTAGCGTACAATATCGCCCCTAAAATTAAACTTGAGGTAAAGTGTTATCAAACCATTAAAGATGGTTGTTTGTATAATTTTTAATATAATAGAGGTTAATGTTTGTTATATCTTTTTTTTAGTATTTGAGACCCATTATATGGATCGTAATTTTGATAGAACAGGTAAAGTGTCAGTAGTGATAACACCAGGTCCAGGTGTATTTGAAGTTGACCGTGAATTAACTAATATTACTAAACAACGTACTATTGATTGTGGTAAGTTTTACTCTAAGTAAATTATCAAAGCTATATAAAGATTGGCATGTATGTAAAAAATCATAGGTAAAAGTCATCTACCATAATTACAGTTAAAATTCTATATGGTAGTCTTGAATTAACCTATTTAAAATCTATATTCTTGGAAATTTTGAAAGTTGATTCTCATATAATTCTCTAGTTTATCATGTACAGTCACATGGCTCCACATTCTTGAATTTCAATGTGTAAATTACCGGTACGCACCTTTTTTTTACGGAAAATCGAAGTGAACAAAAATAATTCATGTAATCGGTTCATCATCAAATAAATTATCAGCTGTATCACTATAGAATTGTTGGGCCAGTCATTTTCTATAAGAGATAATCAAACTAAAAACACATTATAAACATACATTATCTGGTTATTTTCTTTTTGAAAAATCAGTAATCTTTTGCCAACTATACCGTCAGCAAACGAATATTGCTGTTATTTAATATATGAACAGATTGTTATTTGATGTATGATTTGCTAGTATATTATGTACATATTATTATTTGATGTATGAATTACTAGTATATTATGTACATATTACTTGATGATGTATATTTAAGGTGTTGGTAGTGATTTAGTTTGTATGGGAGAACAACCATTACATGCAGCACCACTATTTAAGGTATATATACCTATTATTTCATTCAATACATTTAACTTAATGTTAAAGGGTAGCATCAAACCTCAGCACACTTTAGACCATCCACTTGACTTAACAAAGAAATAAGTTTCATACTATACAAAACACTGGAATTTTTTAAGCATTATGTATGTTTTTTTTAACAGTTTCATAGTAAAGATGCTCAGACAACTTTTGAGATAGGTGATGATTATAATATACCACATTGGATGAATCATAGGTAAATATAGAAACAAGTTCTATTTAAATCAAATTACTCACTGATTGAGTGAAAGTAATCTTATTAAAGTCAGATGTTATATACAATCTCTTTAATCCGATGGTCAGTTGATTAATATCTAAAGACATGTTTTAAGAAAATTGTGTTCTAGGTATGTATGAGACTTCCATAATAGTACCTTTTGACCTTGATTATATACAGCAAGTTAAATGTCAGGATAATTGAGATATTTCGTAGAATTTTCTGTATTAGGAGTTTTAATTGTTCTATAGATCTAAAACAAAGTAAAACAAATAGAAATGTTATTGTAATTGAAATTTATGTTTAAATAAAAGTAACTGTAACATAACAAAACAAAAGAATTGAAAATTTTGCTTTAGAAAATACTCTTTGGCCATAAATCAGTGGTAATTATCCTTAAATACACATAATGTTATTGTTTTATACAAATTTAATCTTTTTCAGTTTTTATATTTCAAAAAATCAAATTGAGAATTTCAAGAATATGTCATTTATACCAAGAATTAAACCACCACAAGAATATGTAAGTATAAGAAATTAATAAAAATCAATATTATGAATTATGATAATATTGACAGTATTTTTAAAAGAGTTGAATCTACAGTATTCTTACGCTCTCTAACAAGTATATAATAGCATAATAGTAAGTACAATAAACAAAAAACATATATATCATGGATGGATAGGGGTTCCAGCCAAAAGCATCCATTGCACTGTATGAATTATTCATATAATTACTCTTTAATGCATGATTGTCATTGATTTACAGTTAGATTTATTAGCAGAAAAACCAAAACTAAAAGGTATGTGATTAATGTTTCTAACTTTAAGTTTAAAAAGGAACAGTCATAGTTTTCACAGAATCTTTAAAATCAAAAATCATTTAAAAAAGCAAAGTGAACGTCAAAATGTGAAGCAATAGCCTAATGGTCTTTTCTAAAAAAAATTTAGCTAAAAATTGAGTGACCTGATAAATTTGACTAATGGGAAGTTGTCACTGCAAATATGTTCGAATTATAGACAGGTTTATATGGTCACACATTTATTGCATGTCAACAAACTCATCTTAAACTGCACCAGACAACTTCAGTTGTTATTTCTTTGAAAATGTACCACAGAGCTTTAGCTTTTAGTCCAGCATAAAGTGTTCTGGAATCCTTTTACACAGAATTAATCCTTTTTGTTCACTAAAATAAATGTGAGATTTCTACTTTAAGGGATATTTAAATTCTAACTTTGTTTCTGACATTTGTCTTCATTTGTTGGTCATACAATAACTCAATCCATGTTTTCCTTTTAAATGTAAGCAAAGACAGTTTTATTTCTTTTAAAAAGATGCTATTAAAAATTATAACTTGTAGACATATATGTATAAAACTTTGTGTTTATTACAGCTTGCCGTACACCATCTAATTTTGAAGATGATGATGATAGCTTTCCATTTATGGAGTATGATGAATATGATGCTCAAGTATTCAAACTTCCATCTCGGAACAATCCAAGACCACTGTAAGTTTTTTATTCTTAAGCTGTGTATATATTTACTGGATCATTTTGTTATTGATATGTACTCTTGTATATGTTTTTGACCTTAATTTGCATATTATAGCTTAGTCGTGTTTAGTTTGTCTTGCATCTTGTATCATCTATAATCACTTCAATTTCATTATGTAGTTATTAACTTATAAAGGACTGTAACAATCTAATGCTTGGAGAAAATGGCAAATGAATGTTTGGACTTGAAATAATGGTAGTAATTTATAGTTCATAATTAAAATTTTAGGTTTTGAGTAAACTTTATTCTATTTTGGTCATTTGTACAATAGTACCAAAAATCTATATATTGAAAGAATTTAGAATAAAAGTTAAAATGGATCATAAACTTTTAATTACGATTTATTTCCTATCCATCAACCATTTAGAAACAATATAGGACATCTGGCAGCTATACTGTTGAAACTCTGAAGTTGGATTCTTCATTAGAAAGTCACACTCCACACTGGTGTAGGTTAAGGATAAATATATTAATAACATTCTACATATTATAATTGTTAATATTGTTTGTAGTTCATTAATATAATCATATCATTATTTTCTTATACTCATCTCTCATTTCATTTTGTTTATGATTTATTTTTTTTACCAGAGATGAAATTGAGGAAGTGTAAGTAAAGTTTTCATTATTTGCGTAACAAATGAAAGAGCTAGAGAAAAATCAATTACAAGCTTTGCAATTTTCTGGCATACCCTCTCCAAATATTATTTATTATTATAACACTCAGAAGAAAATCCCTCAAAACTCTTACCAGTATCTCTATATTATATAGTATATATTTTATTAAAAGATCAAGAGTTCTTACACAAATTATTATATTATAGATATTTTTAAAAAAACATTATGTTTCAAACCCTGTAATTAATGCTTAGATATTTAAATGTGTATCAATCTTAAAATACAGGGTGTGGGGGGGAATGGTTAGTGCATGCGCGTTATATCATAAGGTTTGTCATTGAGTCAGCTGGCTTGGTTTCGATTCCCCGGTTGTACATGACAAGGAGTAGGGTTGCCTGTCCAACCTCTAGGGTTTTCTCCGGGTCCTCTGATTTTTCCCACTGCTAAATTATTGAAATAAAATTCAACCATATGTTAGTCCTGAAATGACCTAGTTTGTGTCGAGCGGATGATATACCCCATTTCTCTCTCTGTCTCTTAAAATGCAATACTGGTACTATATCCTTGAAAGGTATACCACTTTTTAGATATCTAACCTGTTGAAAAACATCAACTGGTGAGTATTTTGAATTGGAATGAAGAAACTGAAAAATGACTGTGGTATCATAATTTTTGGTTCCATCAATAATTTGTTGTTTTTGTTTTCTGTGATTAACCACATTTTGATGAAACTGTGAGGTACAGGTAGATAGGGCCTTTCAAAAATACTATGGTTTCATACACACAAAATATGATAGTGTTGTATAAGAATATTACACATTTTCGAAAATAAGGCAGTTTATACAGCTAAAGCTAAACCAGACTCTTTCTTTCTAGAAGAGTGAGGGGGAATGGGGGAGGGTTGTCTTACTCATGCGTTAAGATCACAGGGCCTCACATAACTAGGAATAGGGTCAACTGTCCAATCTCGTGGGGTTCCTCTGGGTCCCCCCGGTTCCTCCCATAGCTCAAGCTAATTATTGAAATAATATTGAAATAATAATGTCACTTCTGAAATGACCTAGTTTGTGTTGAGTGGACGTTAAATAAAACCCCTCTCTCTCACATGAAGTGGAATGGAAGCATAAATCCTGTGAAGCAAAATTTCAATAAAGTAAGGCAAGCAGGTGACAATATCTACTGAAAAATATAGATTTACAGCACTATGTGGGTATCATTAGGATTGGGGTTCTAATGAAAAATCACATAATTCCAATGTTGTTGATGTAAGATCATTTACTAATTAGATTACACACAATCATCTTTTTGGCTTTTATTAATTTGCTTGATACATTAATAGCTTCTGAATCTTGTTTATTTGCATTACATTTACTATGGTGAATGATAATCTGATTGTATAAATGTTTGTTTTATGGTGCAAAATATCACAATAATATAAGAAAAGTTGCATACCATGTCTTGTGCATGAAAGCCTTTTGCAACTTCTACATGGAAAATTATCTGAATTATCCAGGTGAAAATTCTCTTTCCCATAATGAAATGATTTAAATTATGAAATTGCTGTTGGTAAGAAAACCTGTTGTTCTTTATTATAAGCTAGGAAAATACAAAAACATTTAGTTTGCTTATTATAATTATTTTGTACATAATTTATGGTACATTATAAGCTTAGTAAACTATAAATATGATACCAAATTGTGGAATTTTATTTGTTTGCTTTGAAGGAGAAATTCTATTTCAAATTGTACAGATATTAAGCCTACTGGAAGCTTCAAATAAATTATTTTGGATGACTTTGGACTGGCAAATAAAGCCACACTCTGGTTTTTCACAGTGCAGATTTTTATTGTATCATATTCCATGCATCCTGGAGATCGGTATCCCTTTATTTATCTCGCTCTTTATTCAGATATTTGAAGTATTCTCTGAGACCTCTTGTAAATAATGAATTTGTTTTTTAAGGCAGGGGAAAAGTTCCAGTTTTTACCATAACAACAGGCGCAAACTTCAAGATAAAAGTCAGTCTGATGTTCATGCTAGTCGCAGAACACGATCTAGATATAGATCTGATGATTTTGAGGGTATTTATGCTTCAGGAAGAGCTATGAATAATACTAAGGTGGCATCTTCAACTCAAGCTATCTGCATACCACCAGGTTCTATTAGTGATGACTTGGCTTCTTCAGTGGGAGGTTTAAATCCTATCATGGGTAATAATATAGTTACTTTACCCTACTATGGAATGTTTTAATCCTACATTGGGTACATCTACCGTGAAATATTTGAACCTAATTATGGGTAACATCGATATTTCACCTACTAGGGAATGTTTTAATCCTACCATGGGTACATCTGCTTTGGAATATTGTTACCTAATTATGAGTAACATCGATATTTCACCTACTATGGAATGTTTCAATCCTACCATGGGTACATCTGCTATGGAATGTTTAAATCCAAGCATGGGTAATGTAGTTGTTGCATCTTTTCGTTTCAAATAAAAAATGTGTTCATATTTATAATCTTCAATGCTATTCATGAAGCCAATGAAAAAAAAAATTATAAAAGACTTTTTCTTTTAAAGTCAAATAATTTATTTCTGTTGTCACTGCTTTATATTGGTTTTGTTACAGAAAGAGGAGCGAGTCGTGTATCAACAGAATCATCTGAGAATGAAGAAATACAGTATAATAGATTAGTAGTAGGAAGTGCTGGATCTCCAGTAGGCCATAGTAGAAAGTCATTAGCTAATTATCGTCCACGACGAGCTCTCATTAATCCTTTTGCACCATCTCGAATGCAGTTTAAAATGACAGCTAACATGAGAAGATGGGTTCATGCTTTTCCTAAAGGTAACATATCCATATATATCTACTTTATTTAACTGTAAGAGATTAGGCTGCACAATTTCCTAGTCAATTTATTTTATGCATATTACTTTTTTTCACTGATCTTGTGTCCATCTATTTCTCTGATATATTTTGCTCATTTAACACACATGCGGTCTGTACACCATATGACTGATCTTGAGTCCAACTGTTTAACACACTATTTAATCTATTATAGTCTGATCTTGAGTCCATCTACTTCACACACCATAGATCTATCTATTTAAAGGCTCAATACCACTCTTGTTGTAACTGAATAATATGTCCCAATCTTTATTCTGGTCAACAAATTGTACTATTTTAGAATATTTCAATTAATTGATGATACAAATTTCATCTTAACACACCTTATTTAAAAATTTTGAAAAATTCAACATAATGGTTTGAAACATCTAACGTAAACCTTTTCAAATGAAACTTAGATTTAAGAATATTTTCGAACCCTCTGGACAAGTAAAATAGGATGTAATGGATAATTTACACAACAGGTAGAACACTTAAACATCTAGTACTTAGATAGAGATATTATTTATTTTCTGGAGCTTTCAAGCCAGCAAGAGTGTTATTGTCCCTTTAACACATCTTGAGTATCTCTTTATCTTTTTCACCTCAAAACCTTCATATTCATTCAGACTGAGCCAATTTATTTTGCTCAGTCCAATTATTTCATTATTTTATTGAAAAGGAAATAGATTCCCATAAAAGAGTTTTAATACCACTCAATGATTACCTTGTTGACTGCCCGGGTGACTTAGCTGTTGTGGGTTTATGTTTCATTGCCTGGCAACCTATCTTTTGGTTTAGTTTTATGATGATTATAAAATGAAATCATTGGAAGAATATTTTTATCTTTAAACAGATCCAAAAGGTACTCCTGTTCAACCTAACATAATGAGGAGTTATGGTTACCTAGAAGAAGAAGAAGAAAATTCATGGACAACACCAACTAAAGAAGTTCTACAGGTATATAAAATATAAAAACTAAATTGAAGAAAGACACCAAAATACTAATTTAACGGTTAGCGTTTTCTGTTCATACTGAACATCTTCAGGTCATTTTTATTTATGAAAAATTATGTAGAACAATAGACACAACGTCATGATGTTAATATAAATATATCAAATACAACATAATAATATTTACATATTTCTACATTTAGTAAATAATCAATAAAAAGATTATTATTTCATCTCTTACTATAATATCCGTTTATTTAATTCTGGTTTGTACTTTTTGATGAAATAATTTTCATTACATTCAAGTAAATCATTATTTAAAAAATTCAATTTGTACAAGGGAAATACGTTGAATTTTTCTCCTCCACATGTTTTGATGTGTGTACTGAAAGATATTGTTCCATTACTTGGAATCTTAATTTGCGATCTATGAAGATTCATTCGAAGGTTTAGTTGACCTTCGGGGTTGGATGGCCGAATGGTTAGCACATGCGCGCTGTATCATAAGGTCTCTCATTGAGTCAACTGGCGTGGTTTCGATTCCCCCAGCTGTACATGACAAGGGGTAGGGTTGCCAGCCCAAACTCGTGGGTTTTCTCTGGGTCCTCCGGTTTCCTACCTCTGCGAAAGACCACTACGCGTAAGCGAATTGTTGAAATAAAATTGAACCATGTGTTAGTCCCGAAATGACCTAGTTTGTGTCGAGTGGACATTAAGCCCCATTTCTGTCTCCCCTTAACATTCATAACATGCAATGAGATATATTACATTTTTTGATTTTGCATGTCATGCTTTGTTTTACATGAAAATCATTGGATTCATTTATTTTAATGGAGCTTCCTTCGACTATCATTTTACATGTTAAACATCTTTCATCCCCCACATTTTCTGAATCAAATTTTGAGGAAGTGAGAATTTGTCTCAAGTTCGGGGGTTGTTTTAGACTGTTTGATCTAATTATTTCCATACCCCGTTCTTGAGAAGGATTATGTGTTGTAACTAAACTCATAATTTCATCTTGTTTACCTAAAACTTTAGGTTTTCTTAAAACTTCATGATCTATTTTTAAGGCTTGTTTAAAGCCATTTTTTATTAAACCACTAGGACAATTTTAATTACGAAGCAATTGTTTAAATTCTTGTAATCTTATGAGTTTTTTCTTATCACATGATACGATTGTACAAATTCTCCTAGCAACATTAAACGGGATGTTTCTTTTTGTTTGAGAAGGATGACATGAATTGAAATCTAAATACTGGTGCATGTTAGTAGTTTTATGATATAGGTTCGTTGTAATGTCACCATTTTCAGATAATGTTACATTATAAGAACAAGGGTCACTGTTTTCCTAATTATGTTTTCATTGAATGTTGTGATTGTACATAGTATATATATCTCATTCCTTCTATCTGTATCAGTATTGTGCTTGAAAACGACAAGAGAATCATTGTTGAAACGTAGCCTTAATAGAAATATAGTAATTGTTATCCATATAACTTTGTGTTTATTTTTTAATGTGCTCAATTACTAAATGCCATTCAAACAGTATAACTGAATTAAAGTTTTTTTCTATTATAAAATTTAAACTTTCATTTAGTGAGTTTAGCATGAGATATAACTCATTTAATAAAACATTATCCTTAACAAATATGATAAAACAATCATCTAAGAAATGTTTCCATGAATGTTCAATCTGTAACTTTAATTCTAAACTGAAACGTTCTCAAATATTGGTGTACCAAATTTCTTCAAGGTAGCCAAGCGTTAAAGTTGCATATGTTGGGCCTATTTTTGTTCCTATCGCCACGCCTTTAATTTGTTCATAATAGTTTTCATCAAAGTAGAAAATATTATTAGAAATGACTATTGTGACCGCATTTATGATAAAAGTATTGTCGAAACGTAAGGGTATTTCGGATTGGAATTTATTGAGCCAGAATTGTATATATCTTATGCCTAGTTTTATTTCAATATTACTATACAAGCTTACAACATCAAACGTGACAAGTACACTACTTGGTTCAGCTTTATTAGGTAGATTACAGAAGAAATCTATATCATCTCGTATGTAACTCTTGATGTGCTTTCATAGATGTATGAGAATGATGTCTATAAAATTACTTAAATGTTGTGTTGAGCTATTTGGTCCACCTACAACACGTCTAAATTTCAAATCAGTAGGGTCTGGAATGATAATCACTTCCTGTCTTTGTTCCATTACTGCATTTCAAATTTCTTTGCTTTTATGAATCTTTGGTAATCAATAAAAAAGCGCTAGCCATTAAATAAGTATATTGGTGTCTTTCTTCAATTTATTTTAGCAGAGAGTTGTATTTACCTATATTTTATTATATATACAGTACTGGCCAAATTAATAGCAATTTTTTCTTAAAACGTTGCAGAATTAACTCACTAAAATTGAAGTATGGATAAAATCATACACCGTGAATATATTGAACTGAATATTCTTACACATAACCATATTGACATCTACTTCACATTGCATGGTTGGTCGATGTAATTGATGACGTCATGACGTCGTAGCGGCTGATGACGTCATCGATGTGCGTCATGTTGTTTGTTTGCCGTTTTTGGAATACAGTCATTAGGGAATTCTATAATACAAGAACATCAGTTACGTTTTGGGGAGAATACAGGACAAGCACACTCAAAAAACAATGATTTCAATGGTCGTGCATGATGTCATTACGACTGTGTGACGTCACAATGACGTCATCTCGCCGAAACAGGTGTTTTACGCCAAAACGCTTCAACTTGATTGATTTCCATGTTTTTGGTGTTTATTTATATCTTTTCTTGGGCGCCGAATCGAACTACGTCTTTTAAAATGTTAAAAAATCGACGTAAATTGATTTTTTCAACGATAGTTGGTATACAACGATGAGCACATGAGCGAGTAGACTGTGGGAAAGTTACGACAACTCATTTCCAGGCGCCATTTTGGGTCCCAATTATGACGCCATAAAAGCTATGACGTCATGGCTTCATACAGGTTTACATACCAAAATCTGTTTTTTTCTTGCAGTATTAGGCGTTGAGGGATAACGTTTTGCCTTAAAAAAAAATGCAAAAGAAACCAATGCAGTTTGGTTCAGTGATAAATATATCAAACAAAATCATTGGGGAATTTTCTGAGAGCGATATCTCGTAATCAGTGTGTTTTACTATTTACTCGTTGGATTATAAATGATTTTTTTAAATTCCTCAAACACAGAGTGGTTATGCAAGCGAAATGTGCCGAAAAATCGAATTTGACAACATCAATTAAAAAAAAGAAGTATTTTTTATACGGTGCCGGGCGTTTCTTTCATAATGGCCGCCAAATTTGGTAATATTATTATTATTATTATTACAGCATATTTATAGCTCGCCCTTTCAAAAAACATGTTCAGGGGCACTTTACAAAGTGACAATGTAATCATAAATAAACAACAAGATTATGGACATGTTAACAATTGTATACAGAGTCAGTTAAAAGCCTCATAAATTAAATGTGATTTAAGTTGTTTTTTAAATGAATATAGAGATGTACAACATCTTAAACTAAATGGTAGATTATCCCATAAAACAGGTGCTTGATAACTAAAAGTAGTTTATCTGATGTACGTAATGTTCGGCCATTATCGTGGTTATGTACGCGAAATGTGCGGAAATCGAATTTGACAAACATCGATTAAAGAAATGTATTTTCCATGTGGTGCCGGGCATTTCTTTTAAAATGGCTGCCGAATTTGGTAATATAAGGCAATTTAACAAAAAAACCCCATAAATTTGGTAGACTAAAAGGGCATATCTTAAGATACGTAAGATATGACTTTTGCTATGTCCTTTATATGGTTTTCAATGTCTCTGAATTTGAAGATAAATTTTGAAAATACAATATAGCAGCAACACAAATTGGCGGATATTAAATTAATCGTCATTTTTCCTGTTGGATATTAGATAGTGTCTCTAAAGCATGATGTACACTCTAGTTCGGTGTACCCTGTAGTTCAGATACAGTCTCCAAACCGTGTTTGCACTGTAGTTTGGGTGTAGTTCGTCAAATGAAGATGAATTTTACGATATATCCATAGGCGTACGGGCTCGATGACAGTTAGGGGGCAGGAACCCGAATTGCCCGAAAAAATTTCGGGTTTACAGACAGCGGCCCAGTCTTCCTCGAGAGGGGAAGAATCAGAGATTAACCTTGTGTGGACCCTCCCCCCCCCCCAAGAAAATTTTGAAATATCTGACGGCTGCAAACACGTTTTCCTGCTATTTCAGCCCGTGAACGAAGCAACTTCAAAGTGGTCTAATATAGGCTAATTAAGATGCCTGGCTGACTGGCTCGAATTCCAATCAAAAGATCAATCGTTTACAGTCCACGGAGACGGGACCGTTGGGAAAAATTTTTGAAAGTGCGTTTTCTGCTATTTTAGCCCGTGTAAGCAACTCCAAAAGTATCCAATTCTTTTGTAACCGAAATCCCATTCTGAATTACAACCATATTATTTATACATAGGCGGGGAGTGATAACATCTTACCCCAAACAAATTGCAAAAGAAACCATGAAGTTTCTGAGACCGATATTTCGTAATTAGTGTGTGTTTAATGGTGGGGGAATAAATAATTTCTTTTTAAATTTTTCAAACACAAACTGGTCATAGAGGCGAAATGTGCCGAAAACCGAATTTGACAAAAATCAAAAAATGTATTTTTCACATGTATGGCGCCGGGCATTTCTTTCAAAATGACTGTCAAATTTAAAATAGCATTTTCCGACAAGACCAGCGATAAGATATGACTTTTACTATGTCTTTTAAATGGTTTTCGACGTCTCTTCAAGGTCACCGTCTTGTGCCGAAGTCATGAAACGCACCGTCGGGGGATTTGTTGGGGCCTGTCTCCCCCAGACAATTTCTAGAAATTTCAAGTCGATCTTGCCAGGCCGTGAATACGGCAACCTGAAAGTGGTCGATTTTAATGTAGACATCTGAACTCCAATCAACAAATCAATCAACCAGGCTGTTGTCGTTGCATTCACATGACACCAGACGTGTCACCGATGAAACAAATATGCCTGAAACAAATGTCGCTGTTAGTGCGACCCATTTGTGACAATTTCTAGGTCCCAAATATTAGCGATTTAGCTCCTTTAAAAGCAAATGCAAGTTAAATATGTTTAATAGTACTTTTATCTAGTGTATCTTTTATTTTGATTTTTCTTATAGAATAAGGCTATATAACAATAATGTGTGCTTCTTGTTGTATAATACTAATAATAGTATGTTCAGCTATACTTTTCGTTTAAAAAATGTATGTTTTATGTCCTATAGACACTTATTCGCTGAAATCTATGACATCCAACAATATAATAGGGCATATAAATAGATAATAAGTTTGCATGACATCATATGAAATTCCTTGCTTCACAGTTGTCGCAACTTTATCTATACACGGCGTTGCGTCGACCAACCATGCAATGGGAAGTAGATGTCAATATGGTTATGTGTAAGAATATCAGTTCAATATATTCACGGTGTATGATTTTATTCATACTTCAATTTTAGTGAGTTAATTCTGCAACATTTTTAGAAAAAATTGCTATTAATTTGGCCAGTACTGTATATTATTAAGCCACCAGTTAAGGGGATTCACAAAAATGATCGCTTACTGGAGTCAGTCCCTTTTAGAAGTGATAAACTACACAAAAGTATGATCATAGTACAGACAGTAGTTTGTTTCATCTGTTTATCATGTATTTTTCTTACTACATAAACATTCTATAATCAAATACTTGGCTTAGTACATATTGATAAATCAGTCTCTGAGAATGGAAAAGGTAGGGATGAAACATATAAACATCATGTTTTGATGTGCTATATGTGTGGTATTGACTGCTAACAATGTCCACTTCATTGAGCATTACATTCTTAAACACATGCAGCTGTAATATCTGGCATTATCCCTTTTAGTAAGCCAACTTTTATTCAAATCATGATGGACCGATTTTGTGTCAGTGAAAGTAGCCAGAATTGCTAACTTACAGATAAAAAGGCAACTAAAACCTCAAAATTAAAACAATAACTGACCAAATCAACCAAAATGTTATTATTTTGGAGTTATTTGATTCCCCAAATATCCTACTCTAACAATCTACATAATTTTAGAAAAATCTGTGCCTTGTCTGCATAACTCTCTTTAAATGAAATGAAATGAACTGTTGCTTAACGTCCTACTGTCTGCTCCCACTAGGCTAATGAAGACGTGCATACATCATACAGTGTTCAATGAGGGAAATTTTGCGAAGACAACAGTGCTACGGCCTTCGCTTATATCAAATTCCAACTGCCAAGGGATCTTTTACGTGCATGCCAATGTGTACCATCCAAATAACTAGACAGCTGTCCTTACCAGGCCCTCCGTCCTGCACCACTGACAAAGGGAAACTATGCCAGAAAATCCTCAACCAACTCTTGACCTCCAGACTAGCGACCGACTTAGCCACTGTGACTCCTATAATTATCTTTAAAGTTCTATGGATGGTATAGTTGAACTGAATGTCAGACTTACGTATAAATCATAAAACAGGTGGTCTATTTTGATTACAGGGTGCCCAGAGGGCAGTAGAAGCTAGACGTCAGAGATCTATATCCAGACAAGGTAGTATAGATCACGATTTAACAAGTTGCCAGAACAGGTATGTGATACACTTTACTTAACCATAATTCATTTGAATTCCATATCACGGGTCTTTGTAATAATTTGTATACAATAATTCATTTGAATTTGAATATTCAGATCAGGGCCATTGTCAATGAAATTATAAAGCACATTACAGTCAATCTGATTCCAGAAATTAAATAAATTTATTGGAATACATAAAAGATTTTATATTATGCTGATAATTATGTATGGTATCGTCAAAGACAATTTTTATTGTCATAAATTCAGTAGATGATGAGTAACTATGACTTGAAGGTCAGATAACTGTTTTAAAACATTTGCTATTTGTCGTTTTCAAATAGTGCAAATGTGATTGCATGTATATACTGTATTCAAATGGCAGCCATTTTAATGGTTGGTAGACAGAAATTAACCTTGAGTGAAGAGTTTGATTCTTGTAACTATATATAAAATGTATATTTCAAACAGTACTGATAGTTTAAATGGATTAAACGTGTCACCTAATCACAGTCAACATACTACATCATCTAATGATGGTTTAAGTTCATCTCTATCAAACTCAACTATAACTAATCCAGAACATGGTAAGATTATTATATATATCATGTCTAAAACTTGCTGTGAATTCAAATTTACGTTTGATCAAAGTGTGTTTAAATTTTTTTTAGGAAATTCAACTTCACTTTCCTTTTAAATGTACACTCGCCTAATTTTCTTTTAATAAATTCACAATCCAATATCATTCCCATATGAAAAATGACAAGTCTGTAAAAAAAAATTCTTTGGCTCTTATTCTCTCAACAGGGCGTTATAAGGGAGGTAGTAAAGCAAGGGAGAAATTATTTGTAGATTCTCGACCAATTGGTGTTGATCCTGGCTGGTATCCGTATATGACTACAGGTAGTGTACATGTTATGTTTATCTGGCTAGTAATTCATCATCTTTTGTCATATGTTCTCTTATGTGCAAGACAGATTTTTACTCAAGTTTTTATCACCAAGATCTTATGCAGGAATTTTCAAAGTGGATAAAGAGCTATTGGAGAGTGACCTAGTTCTTTTGTTGGTGCACCTTAAACATAATATTTGTCTGTCAGTCCATGTCTTGTCACACTTTTTGGGACACAATAACTACTCTCCTTGTAATTGAGGCAGAATGTTCAAACTTTGTGTAGTTGTTAATTATTGACAGGTCGATCATGTGCATTTTCCACTAAGGCTAACCAGAGATAAGCAATTTGATTGGTTGAGACTTTGTAACACGATAACTTTGGTTTTAAATGGGTGAGAGCAATGAAACTCTAAGTATAGATTCATTATATCAATACCTTGACTAAGTTCGATGATGCGAATTTTCTGCTAAGACTAAGTAGCGATTTTGGAACATACATGTAACAACTCTGCTTTTAATTGAGGTAGATTGGTTATACTTGATGTAGATGTTCATTGATTAACATTTCCCGCTAAAGATAATAAGCAGTACTAAACAATTTCTTTGGTCGGTTTTGGGGTCAAGATAACTTTGATTATAACTGATGGAAAGTGATGAAACTTAGTGTATGGTTTCACAGCAGGTACATCAAAACCTTGACTGAGTTTGATTGTAAACATTTTATGCTTAGACTAAGGATAGATAATCAGTTTGATTGCTCGATACTTTTTAAAAAGATAAATGTGCAATTAATTGATATGTGTCATCTATTTATTTTGGGATTTTGGCTGGGGAAATCAGTCTCACTGTTGACTTGTTTCATATTGCTAAAAAATATCAACACTAGATTATAACATTACCCCAAAACATCCATAACAAACTGAATAATGTACATTTTATACCCCAAACATCCATAACAAACTGAATAATGTACATCTTATACCCCAAACATCCATAACAAACTGAATAATGTACATCTTATACCCCAAACATCCATAACAATCTCAGCTTGCATCTTATGCCCAAAAACATCCATAATAAACTCAGCATACATCTTATACCCAAAAACATCCATAATAAACTCAGCATACATCTTATACCCAAAAACATCCATAACAAACTCAGCTTCCATCTTATACCCAAAAACATCCATAACAAACTCAGCATACATGTTATACCCAAAAACATTCATAAACTCAATGTCTATCTTAAATTGCAAAACATCCAATAAGACGCTACTCAATATTGAAATGCCATTGAAAATGTTTAATTTTCAAAGACTAAAATTAGAAATTCAACTAAGAATTCTCACAAGGTAAATTAAAGACTGAACTCAAGTTTAGCAGACAGCTGAAGATATAGGCTATCATTTAACAGTATATCCTCTTCACCTGTCGTCTAGTGATGTTTTATTCATAATGGCAGTATTTTTAGATTTAAAATAGAATAGGATTCACCTGTCATAACTTTTAGATAGGTTTTCTTTTCAGCAACAAATATAGATTTTCTTTGGTTTGGATATAGCATCCATTTGATGGTTATGTAAGTTGGACATAGAACGCCAAAGGAATAGTATTGGCAATTTGCTTTTAAAGACAGTATTTTGTGATTGTAGGCTGGGATTGGAGACCATTAGACAAGAATGAGGAAAGAATGTCGGTATCACGCCTAGTGAAACCTATTTTAACTGCAGATATACAATCTCAGAATTTTTCTTCAGGAATAAGTATGGAGTATATACTTATTATTGTAAACATCATTTTTCTTTTTCAAATCAACTTTATTATTTCTGTCTATATACCAATATTTATAGAACTATTTCTTCTTTTCATTTAATGCTCTCAAATTATATATCACATAGTTTACAGCAGTATTTGTATTTGATCATTCAACAAAATGTAAATATTTAGCCGTCCACCAACAGAATCCAAATATTTTAAACATTCATCCTCAAGTGACAAATTTCAGAAAGTGTTGTTCTGTTTCTTCAAGTAATTTATAAATGAAGAACACTGAATAAATAAAGTTGATTTGTAGAATTGATGTTTACATGTATAATTGATTAGATGTGTTTTTATAGAACAGTGGTTTTGTGTTGATGGCCGACTTTAATCTGCTTGTATTAACGTTAATTCATGGGTTTTACTAACGGACTGGTATTTGGACTGGTATTTAGAAATGTAGAAAATGACCAAAGGGGTATTAAGCAGCATTTTCAGGTTTTAGTTTAATTTAAAAAAATATGTAAAAATCACCCAAAATTAATATTTGAGATTTTTGGCCATTTGAAAATTAAAATGATATTAAAAAAATAAATTATTTAATTTATCAGGTATTTTCTGCTGTAGATTAAAGAATCTTTACTTCTCTATGCTCAGCCCTTTCTTGGATTCTTTAATTATTTGAAAACCAACATTCCTGAGTTTATGCTGTAGTTATTATTCACACATTTGATTTTGTGCACACTTAAAACCCCTTTTAACTGTGTCTGCTTTGTAGTGTATTGACCGTTTATTTTTATTTTTTTTTCATGAATGGTTTTTCATATAGACCCAGAATTTTCTACTTTAGTTTTATTTTTGCTATTGCATTTTTATATGCCCACATTGAAATGTGGTCGTATATTGTTGTCACCCCCGTTCGTCCGTCTGTCCGGCGTCCACAATTGCTTGTGGACACTCTAGAGGCTAAAGTTAATATCCGACTGACTTTAAATTCATACACAGTGTTTAAGGCCATGAGACGAAAAAGCCTATTGATTTTCAGCAATTTCCGATAATTACTGTCATAGTTATGGCCCTTGATCACTTTGAAACATCTTGTGGACGCTCTGGAGGCTAAAGTTAATATCCAATTGACTTTAAATTTATACACAGTGTTAACGGTCATGAGATGAAGAAGTCTATTGATTTTCAGCGATTTCCGATAATTACTGCCAAAGTTATGGCAACTTGATCACTTTGAAAAATCTTGTGACGCTCTAGAGGCTAAAGTTATAAAAACCAAACAAATTTTAATGATTTTCCTATAAATTTTAATGAGTTGGTACTCTTAATCAGATTTTAATGTATTATAAATGTTTCATTACCGAAAAAAAAGTAAAAATATGCGACAACTCTTGTTGACTGCACGACCGATTTAGCTGCTGTTTGGTGTATGTTTCGTTGCCTGGCAACCTATTTTTGGTTGGTTTTATTTTATTTAAAGCTTATAGTAGGAAACTATAAGTAACATTTTTTATTTCATTAGCACAGCTTTGACATTGGTTGCAGTGCCAACACTTCTTAAAAGAGACATTTCATTTCATTCTTTTTTTATTTTTGGTTCTTTTTCCCCTGTAAAATAACAGTCCCTAAAAAATTAGATGACTCACAGGGTTAAAGATACATGTAAGATTTAGATAAAGAGCTGATTGTTCTTGCTATAATAGTTAAAAAAATAGATAATGCAAAATGAATATATTGAAAATTTCATTCAAATTACTTTATTCTGAACGAAGTTTTGACAGGATGTGGCATAGACTGCTTATTATCGTAACAACAATACTTAGCTTCAATTCGCCATTTTGAAATTAAATGGTTATAGTTGATTATATTATAGTCTTCTGATGTAAATAAATGTCTAAATGATAGGTTGTATAACATTTAAAGCCAAACGAAATACCTGCAATTACCAGATTTAACTCTTGAATAAAATCATACGTCTCAGACAACATTACAAAGAAACTCTGTGGAATCCCATATTAACAAACTGCTGTAATGTTTAGGTCTTTGTTCTTGATATAATTCATGATCTTTCTTTATTTGTTGTTTAGGGTTTGAAAAGGACTTTGTCTTGTCATTTGGATGGGATGAACAACTGAGGTCCTATGTACACATTTGCATGCAGACTTGCATGTGAAAGAACCCTTGACAGTTGGAATTCAAAATAAAAGTAGGCGTTAGTGCCACTGTTCAGGCAAAATTTCAGTAATGGCACACTGTATAGCCTATAAGCCCATCTTCATTGCCAAGTCTGTGCAGAAAAATAGGACGTTAAACTCATTTCAATTTATGTTGTTTATATTTATAAATTAAGTTCACTTTCATAAAGGATATGTTTTGGTTTTGTTTGGGAACTCCAACCTCGTGGTTTCCTCCCACTGCTAAAGACCCCTACGTGCATGCGAATTATTGAAATAAAATTAAACCATATGTTAGTCCCGAAATGACCTAGTTTGTGTCGAGTGGACGTTAAACCCCATTTCTCTCTCTCTCTCTCTTGTTTGGGAACCTTCATAGAAATTTGATTAAATTGTCCTGCCCTTACTAATAGAGTGGGATTGCTATCTACACATACAGACATCCAATGTTGTAAAGATCCTACAGCGTAGTTGACAGATTACGATGGGACATGGGTTGCGAATAAGGATTAGTGATGTCCAAGTTGCATGCTCTCACATGACCGATTTTGCGCTTTAGGTTGTCGTGTAAGATTATTAGTAGATGAGTAGATTATAAATGTAGCTGCTGTACTGTTTAGATCTTTATTTTTGATATATAGATAACAAGATCCTGCTTTTATATTGTTTAACAACTGATCAGTATACAATATATTTTATTATCACCCTGTATTAATCCCCCCTGCATTATAGTTTTGAAAAGAAAAGCTTGCTTGCATGAATCCTTTTTATTAACCGAAGATTAAGATCTGAAGAAATAAAAATAACAAATTATGTTCAAAAGAATTTATTTATTTGATCAGTAGAAATTAATGCACATGGTATCTTGCCAATTTTGTGTCCATCTTTAAAATCATGTTAGGTGCGGATCCTGGGGGTGATCCTATTAATACATTATAAAAATTGACATCAAACGGGGTGTCGGATCTCTCTCTTTAAAAAGTTCAATATATATGTATGCCTACGTGATTAAGAAATGATGATGGCATCATGGATTGTTAACTGTGAAATTTCCTTAACAGGAGCCTGACAAACCCCCTCCAGCAAATATTCCTGGTTCCGCACCTGCATGTCTCAATTGATATTGTAATCTGAAAATATGAGATTAAATAATGTTGATTATATACACTTTCAAATATTATATATTTTATTAGGTGTGGACTGGAAGTCTTTGACTACACCAGCATCATTACCAATAACAACTGATTTTTTTCCTGATAGTCACAGTCTACATTATGACTATGTTGTATCAGACTATAATCTATTACCAGATGATATTAATAGTGATTACTGGATAAAGTAAGATAATATTTTTATTATATAGGCCTTTATTAACGGGTTTAGGGTCTCTATGATTCGACATCGTAGTTACATATATCATCACATACTAAACTTACGATGTCCATCTACAATTAGCTAAATCAACAATTTTAGTCGGAAACACTACCTACATATTTATTCAGATTCCATTTGATAAATTGAAAATGTTTATTTAGTCTTTGTGTGTATGACATGTGAAACGGAGTAGAACTGCATTACAAATTAGTATACAAAATTTTAGATTGGGTGGCCATTCACAGCAGGGATAGTTCTCAGTGTGGAGAATGACATCATCGTTGAACACTTTAAAAATGAAGCAGTTTTGTGGTTTATTATTTGTTAGATATTAAATACACTTTTCTCACTGTTAGGTGACTATTGGTTTAGCTATAAGTAGACATATGGTAAGAAGACAGGGTCATATTGCTAGATGTCTTAATAATGTAGTTTGAATGCGTTTCTTAGCGATATAAATGATATAACCCTCTTCGAAAACTTGCCCTATTGGACATAAGAATAAATCATTTCTCGCAGATATTAACCATTCAGAGCAAATTTCATAGTCTTTTCATAGAGATTCTTTTTAATGATTTAGTTATTTATTTTTTTTAGACCAGCTAGTACAGAAGATGAAAAGTTTTATCGTCAAGAACCTATAACCACAGTTCAAGTATTTAGAGAGTTAATTAATCAAAGATTAGCAGAAGTAAGTACACAATTAAGTAATGATCTGAAAATATCTAGATTTTAAAAAAAAAAAAGGTTTCCTTTGAAATATGGTTCAAATTAATTATTAAGTGTTGAAAATATGTATCTTTAACTAATTTCTTGTCTGCACATCATTAACAGGGCTTCCAGTTAATTCTATTCAATAATCCTAAGATTATCACCCAGAAAGAAGCTAATATGGGTACCAGTCCTCAATATCAACATGCTTCTAGTTTAATACGGGCTAGGCCGAGACAAGAAAATCAGGTAAAAAGTTTTTATTAACATAATTAATCATCAGTATAACTATTTATAAAAGTATTATTTTTTTGATCAAAATAAATTCTATGTTGATATAATATCTCTTAAAAGACAAAATAACTGTTATTATAGGAGGAGTATTATTTAAGTATTGGTCGAATCTTCCATAAATTAACTCTATGTGGACCTACTATAACAGTTACACGATACAGGCCACGGTATGGTATTTTTCTATTTAATTAATGTACAGATTTATCATTAGTGGAATGGAAATTTGTCCAAACTTTGTAAAAATTTATAGATTGTTACTTAAATGAGGCCCTGCCCTTCTTTAAAAAATTGGATTTTTAATGCATTGATTCTTAGATTTATTTTTGGGGTACAAATATTTTTGCGTTACATGGTTGTTCAATACTGACCAAGTATGAAAAACATCTAATATCTTCATTATAATTTATTTCCAGACATTCACAGCCCAAACATCATTATAAATATTTATATCGGTTCCAATGTCCTGATTCCAATAGTTATGATGTTTCATGGACAGAGTTCAGTAATGAACAATTAGAGAATTATAATTGGAATTATTTAGACCAGTATATATGTACAAGGGGTGAAGGAGATTATGATTTAATGGAGGTATATTCATCTAGTTATTCATTAGCACCATTTAAACTGGAAAATTAAAGTTGGCATAATGCAACAATGTTTCACATTCCCAAATCGGGAAACAGAATAAAATCAGTGCAATACTGTCTGTAGGTTTAATTAAAAGCACAACAAGTCTGATCATTCAATTACCGTTATAACTGGTATGGAAAATATAGCATAGTTATTATTATTATATTTGTCAAAGAAAGATAAAGATGGGAATGTGTAATCAATAGAAATCATTACGCTACACAATACATGTTTCAATCTTTTAAAGTGTTTCTGCCTTCACTGATATTTGTTTATACCTATTAACAAAGCTTTGATATAGTTCTTTTCTGTCTGCCCTTGGCACAATGTTCATGCAAAATTTCCCTCATAGCACACTGTAGTCAAATCATAGCAGAACAGTAGGATGTTAAACCCCACTTCATTTAATTTTCTTTTTGTTTTTTATATTATGATGACAAATTTTGAAATTCAGTCGAGTTTCTTCTTACAGTCTACTGTTCTATAAGGAATTTTGTACTGTATTAGTAAATCCAAACATGATAGGGAGGTAACTGTAACATTTGCAATCAAAATATTTTGGAATTTTTAACCAAATGACCAATTCCTGCAAGAGTGAACAAAAAATCCAACAAGTACGTATACTGTAGTATAAGACAGACATAGATTACAACAATATACATCAACATTAAATTTAAAATGTTAATAATGATAGCACTGGCATTTCTTCCCAAGAATCTGCATTTAAATATTAATGATATTCAACAATTTCAGTCCTTGAAGTTTTGGAGAAGTCGTTTCTTCCTCCTGCCATGTAATAATTCAGCTACAAAGAAGATTATTGAGGGCAGTTCACGGTAGGTTTACATACTACAAATAAATACCTTGTAGATATCTGTTTAAACTTACAGAAGTAGATTTATAATCAAAGAATTTGAATAAATATATACTGATACCTGTCACTGTAAATACCCTACACACTGTATTACACACTGACATATTTAGCAATGATTTAACACAAGGTATTATTTATTTTAGACTGTAATTCCTTACATTGATGATACTTGATTTATTTCTATTTCCCAGTTACCTCAAGGATTCTACCTTTTGCACTGTCGTGGAATTTACTGTCCAGATTTGGTCAAAATTATGTCATATTTTGATTTTTTTATTACTAACAGTAGACAAGTCTTCATTGCTATCCTTGTGATTGCTAAGGAAAATTAATCTTTTTTCAGTAGCTTGAATGAGTAATTCAAGTACATGTATTTCCATAGACTGGAGGCCTATTTTAGTATGGTTATAAGGTTATAAATATGTTTAGGCTGCATGTATTAGATTGACTGTTTCTGTAATTTGATACAGCTTTTTAATTCAAGGCCAAATAAAAAAAAAATCTTCCGAGTCTCAATTATGTCCGCGTCACTTGACAGTTTTTTATTTCAAAAAATAAAAAATGAAAACAGTCTCAATAACTACAGCACGTAAATATTTCCCCGAGTTACAGGAAGTTAACTGTATAAAAAAAATCGAAGGCTACCAGAATGTACCATCTTCTCAATTATTAAATTTGCAACCCTGATAAATGTTACTGACAATCATACATGAATACTGGATAATCATACATACATTCAACGTGATGAGATAAATGTTGTCTTGAAATGTGATGTTTATGAAAAGTCATTTAGCCCAATAGATTCTTAGGAAATATATCTGAGAACCAGAATATCTATATTGCATAAAATAAATTGTATACTTTCTAGGTGTGACATATATGAAGATAAAACTCTAGCAGAATTAAAACAACTTATTTCTGGTTTTCAAAGATTTTTAGAAGTTGCCAATAAAATCAAACGACCTCAACAAACCAGAAAATCTCGAGTAAGTTTAATACAGATATCAATCTCAGTCTGTTCAAATTTGACATGATTCTAAATAAATAATTATCAATTGTCAAACATATAGAGAATCTCCCATGAGTCTTTGATATTTTTGGATATCAAAAAAGACTTGTAGAAGATTGTATTTGTCACAACTGTCTTACAAGAGATTATAAAATTATCAAAGTATTCAACAAAGACCTACTTTAAAAACTTAGATTTTGATTTGCACAACAGATAATTTGTAAACTAGTTTTATAGCATGATTAGATATATCTGTATTATATCTATTTTAGGTGAATTTACCACCAGAAGGAGTTAATCTAACACCTGATTCTAGTCCTAATAAACCAGAAACTGACAAGTAAGATATATATCTCTAACTTATTTAATAAAGAAGAAAATTTTAATGCAACTGGTCTGTCCATCCGTTGTCAGTTTCTTGTGAACACTTTAATTACATCCTTCATTTATTATCCAATCTTTTTATACGCCCACATTTTCATGTGGACGTATATTGTCGTCGCCCCTGTCTGTCTGGACGTCCGTCCGTCCACAATTTGTTTGTGGACACTCTACAGGTCACAATTCTTATCCGATTTTGACGAAACTTGAAATATAGGTTTATCTCCAAAAGATCTCGGTTCCTTTCGATATTGGCATGTATCGGATCGAAACTTCATGGATTATGGCCCCTGTTTGTACGAAAAATCACGTTTTTAGCTTGTGGACACTATAGAGGTCACAATTTTTATCCGATTTTGTTGAAACTTGAAATGTACGTTGATAACCCAAAGATCTCGGTTCCTTTCGATATTTGCGCATATCGGACCGTAACTTCCTGAATTATTGCCCCTGATTGTACGAAAAATCATGTTTTTAGCTTGTGGACCCTATAGAGGTCATAATTTTTATCCGATTTAAAAAAACGTATTATTATATCACCATAACACCCTAAGAACGAATGAGTTTGAATTTCATGAAAATCGGCCCAAAATTGACAGACAAAATGGGACCCTATAGAGGTCACAATTTTTATCCGATTTTGTTGAAACTTGAAATGTTAGTTTATAACCCAAACACCTCGGTTCCTTTCGATATTCGCGCATATCAGACCGTAACTTCCTGAATTATGGCCCCAGATTGTAGGAAAAATCGCTTTCTTTTTAGCTTGTTCTCTATCCATCTCTCGAAAATGTGGGCGTATCCTGCCTGGCAGCCGCTGGTTCTAATATATGTAACAGTAAGTGTTTTTCATAATTAGTGAGACAAAGCCTATTGAATCACAGCAATACCTGATTATAACTTCTAGAATTACAGATCTTGAGAACGCTTTAACAACAAAAGTTATCAATCAGTCAGCTTGAAATATATTTGCATTGTTCAGATGAATGAGAAAAACAAATCCTATGAACTTTCAACAATTGTGCTTTATTACTTTTGCAGTTATGGCTATTGCTCACTTTGTAGATTCTTGTGACAAAAGTTATTATTCGATTTGGTTGAAATATGTTTGTATTGTTTAGACAAAGAATCCTTTTGAATTTCATTGATTTTTGATAATCACTCTCAGAGTTATAGCTCTTGATCACTCAATAGAATCTTGTGAATACTTTATTAAGAAAATGCAATAAACCTGAAATTTGTATATAACATTCAATTAATGAGAAGAAAAAGCCTGTAGAATTTCAACCATTTCCATTTATTACAGGTAGTGTTTAGATGAATAAGACAGAGAAACTGTTTACTTCTAGAAATATTGTACTTGTTCTCTTTGTAAAATCTAGTGACAGAGAGAGAGAGAGAGAGAAATGGGTTTAACGTCCACTTGACACAAACTAGGTCATTTCGGGACTAACATATGGTTTAATTTTATTTACATTATTCGCTTGCGCGTAGGGGTCTTTAGCAGTGGGAGGAAACCGGAGGACCCGGAGAAAACACACGAGATTGGACAGGCGACCCTACTCCTTGCCACGTACAACCGGGGATTCGATACCACGCCAGTCGACTCAATGACAGACTGTATGATACAGCGCGCGCACGCTAACCATTCAGCCATCCAACCCCCCAAAATCTAGTGACAAAAGTTATCATTATATAAATCTAAATTATATACATTGTTCGGATTTGATTAGTGAGAGAATGAAGCCTATAAAGTTTCAGTGACTTTGGGTAATTGTTTCTCGAGATTATTCCCCTGGATCACTTTGCAAAAACTTGTGAACTCTCTGACCACAAAAGTTATTCGATTTGCTTTTGTAATGTACATCCAGATCATACTTTATATTATAGACAAATACATAAAGAAGAAATCACTTGTAGTACGCCGTCAGTTAAAATAATCGAAACTATGATGGATCCACAGTAAGTTTCATATCTTTCTTTTTATTCTCATACATTTCACAATTATAAGAAACATCCTATTTATTATATTGTGAATATTTTCCAGACCTTTCACCAGCTAATTACTGTAATATATAAATTTGGTTTAAATCTGCTGAAGCTAAAACTTGGGAGTTTTCATTGTAATTTACAACTATTGCTAACGGTCCACGATAGATGGCTAACTTAAATTGTAAAGAGCAGGAGGACCACACTATATACAAACAAAAGCGATAGGACAAACTACACAGACATTACAAGAAATATGAAATCAATTGAATGAATCGAAGGGCCAGCCTTAAGCGTCCACTCTGCTGTGCAGTCCCAGACATGAAATGATACAGGCTTAATTCAAAATGAAAAACAATGAATGATTTACAAGAAAGACATAATAGAAATAATGCAACCAGTATTGACTGTCTCCTGAATGGCGATAGTCTGCCAGTTGATATCATGAGTTAGAATGGCATTGTTTTTTTACAAAAATAAGGGAAATAACCCAGATATAATTTCGGAAAATGCTAGGAATTAATAAATATAATGTAGTGTTGTGAGCAAACAAGATCAAAGCCCAACAACGACAACATTCTTCAGTACGAAGGTCTAAAACTCTGCTATAATAGTATCTTATAATGGTGTATAACCAGAAAGGTCTTATGATGGTTTTCTGAATAAAAACCTTATTTATAAATAATTATGAAATATGTTTTGATAGAAATGGTCTATGTTTTCTACCTAAACAACCTGGAATACAAGAGAACTGTTTTATATCAGCTGAATGTGTTACATGGTGTATACAGAATATACATGGTGTTAAAACCGTACCAGAAGCTTCACAATTAATGCAGGTATTATTGTATACTTTTATTATCCTACCATATAATCTGTAATCAGGGCATGTTTTTAATCTAAATGTGACTACTGGGGACAGTGGGTTTCTTAGTGGTTTAATGTGACATGGTGTATGATTGCCTGTCTAACCATGTGGGCTTTCTCTAGGATCTGTGGTTTCCCCCCATTGCTGAAGGCCTCTACATGCAAGCAAATATTTACCTTTAGTCACAAAAGTGAATATTATACCCCATTTCTTCTGATTGATGTTCTAAATTAATTGGGAAAAACCCACATTTCACAAGGTGTACATTAAGAATAATGGATCTAATAGTAAGTGCATGGGGACGGCACCACACAAAATTTACACACAAAAAACCAGATACAGGGACAAGACATATACTCAGAAAAACACAAACAGACAAACAATTCAAAAAAAGTGAATGGATCCGGGGGCTAGCCGTAAGCGTCCACTGTGCTGTACAGTCCCGGGTCTGTAGTGACACAGACTTACTCAAATTTGAAAACAATCAGGAATACAACCCAAAGAAACCATTGTGTAATGCCAGCATGAGTCATGATCTGCTATATGCTACACGAAATATGAATGTAAGCATATGTAGTAAAATTCAACTACACAAGTAACAACATCGGTGAAATGTATAAAAAAGTAGTCTAAACCTAAATGCTCTAAAATCAATCAAGAAACGTTTCAGTATTCAATGGAATTGAGGTATATTGAATACATATAGGGCACATGTTCCATCCGTCACAAAAACAAAAACAAAACTGAATACAAAGAAGCAAATAGGAAATGTAGACTGTCTCAAAAGACAGCCGTCTGCTGACTGAGTGTTGTGACGTTATTTTGGGAATGACATCATAACTTAGAAGGTGATAAAAAATCACAATAAAAAGGGCGATAATCCAGATAAAATAACTTTAAAAGCTTAATCGTACTATGTATGTGTATTTGGCATAAAAAATAGGGGGGGTAATTCAGACAGGGTTAGGTAACTACAGAAAATTTAAAATAAAATTTAAATTGGATCATTATCCAATATGTAGTCGGTTATATACTTATAAGAAATGTCAAACTTGGTATGTTGAAGAAATGGAAGTTTTGAAATTTCTTTTAAAATACGTAATTGTGTACCGCCTTTGGCAGTGCATTTAAAGTAAAGAGATTTTATTCGGGAAAGAAATAGTTCTTTATTGTTACATATTGTCAAAAATCGTAATGCCTGTGAATAGAAAACACTATATAGCGTGGTATCTGGTATGTTACTATAGATTGACGGGTATTTTACTACTTCAAAACCAAATTTGTCTGTTTTATCGAAAATACCGACATTAAATTTATTGTTAATTATATTGATGTCCAGGTCAAGAACAAGTGCCGGAATTTTCTCTATTTAATATTAGTTCAGGAGGATATATTTCACTTTTATATTCTCTAGGCACTTATATATTTAGATACTGTTCAATTAGATCACCTTACCAACCAGCAGAACTTATTTTTGTCAAAAGATATATTTTAAAAACAAATTACATAATAAGCCCACATTTAATACATTTTATTAATTTAAAAATTAATAAAATGTATTATTGCAAAGTGTCTACCACAATTCAGTCATTTGAATAAGGGTGCGCGCTATCGACACACATCTCATAGAAATAATGTTCATACTAGAATGCTCATGGATGGCACCTGTTTTAACATTGTATTATTTTAAATATGGTTGGCTTGAATTACGTTGAAAGATATATTATATTGTGTCTCTAAACAAATCTTTTTCTCGTTAGTTTGAATATACATTACACATTTAAGATTTTGACTGTGGATGAAACTTAAACCACATTCCCTTCAAATGCTTTCAACACTGTGTACTAAGGTCATCTTTATTTTTAAGACCTCATAATAATGTTTTTCTGTGAAGTACATTTTTCCGTGACAGTTTATGAAATGGAGTGTTATTTTAGTTATATTATTCATTTTACAGAAATTATTAGATGATCAATTGATAATTCATGCATCAGGGAATCCTAAACATAGATTTATTTATGGATTTTATATCTACATGGTTGTTACACCTACATCTAAACAAAAAACACAAGGTAAGAATACTAAGATCAAATCTCTGAATGTGCATTACAAGCAGTTGGTGTTCAGTTCATCCATATTATACTTGTGATTTAATAATAATATGTATCATTTATAATGTACTTTAAATCCACTCCACTAAGACTAAGATCGACACAATTTCTACCCCTATCTCTAGTCTTATTACTGTACCTATTTTTGTGGTCTTTAAATCTTAGGAAGTCTGAAAGAGCACAACACTACTACAGTTGTTTTGTGTAATAGTATACATCATCCTCCTGCTACAAGGATATTCAAGGATATATTTTTCAGTTAAATTTATAATTATGTAGTAAAACAAACAATTTTAAAAAGTAACATTACTCAAATATAAATTAAGGGATTCTTTTTCATATTGATCCACACGTGCCATGATTTGGACTGGATGAATACATTAACGTAAACCAAAACAATTTGGTGTTCGTTAAAAGCTCCATTTCACTATTTGTGATCATGTTAATCGCTGATTATTAAATGCACCCTTCATTTCATATTTCTCTTTAGATTTAAATCTGGGAACAGGACAACCATACAATATGTTCTTCCAAAATGAATTCTGTGAAGTTTCTATAAAACACTGTCAAGAGGAGGAAGAAATACAAGAAATGAAAAAATTCTATCTGAGAGATGAGGAACTTGCCCCATTTGATGATGAATCAGATGATTGGCGAGTTTTATCTGGATTGAATTGTCGTGATAAAGGCCAACAGTTAGGTAAGAACGAGATTTGATATATTTTGTTAAAAGTATCTTGGAATTATTGAATAATTGTTTGGTTGTTACTAATTGCATATTGGATACATTTGTATTGAGAGATTAATAATTAAATTATATATATATCTTATTACAGTTTTCAAATAGTTTTTCCCTCTGTTTTCCCTATTAAAGCCTCAATATGCCAAAATAAAAGTTAAAAACAGAGCTTTCTATATGATCAAAAGTATTTTTTTCAAAAACCATATTGGTCTAAAAATTGACAATTTTAGAAACTTCAACAACATGTTATTTTGGTATGTCTTCTGAACACTTTTGCGTCATATGTTGTCAACATTACACACCAGAGGTTTATGAGTTTATTTTTAAAAAATTGCTGTAAATAAAATTTTGTGATATATGTTAAATTTAGCTGCTGACTTTATGAAAAATTGTGGACTCTAGAGACCAGAATTTTAAAGTTTTCATAGTTTAAATTTGTTGTGGTTGTTTGATTAATACTTTTAATAAAAAAAAATTCAACCTTGAAATTTTCCCCCCTTTAGGTTACAATCTGCCGTATACATTTATTTGTAAAATAACAGAAGGTTTGTTATATTATCATTGTGTAGGCCTAGTATATATATAACATTTCGTAGATCTCTAACCTATATTTATAATATTATTGTTGTATACTTTTTATTTGGTGGCAGTGGTGACCGTTATTGAATATATCCTTAGGTATTATCTAGTTTTGATAAAATCAGGATGTTTTTATAGTTCATATGGTTTTATTTAATTATGGGTTTTAAGATTTTATTTACTGTTAATGTTATTTTTTTTATTGATTGCTATGTTTAACTACATACAATTTACATATACATTTATACATCATATATACTGCATACATAGACTGAAGTATGGGTTATAATAGAAATCTGTATTTACTTCTGTTATTAGACCTTACATACGTAATCATGTGGTTCAGACTCTGGATTCATAACTAAAATATCTTCTAAGTTCAAATCTTTTTGTGATATAAGAATATTACATTGAGATTTTTGTCCCCCGCCTTTCGAAGAAAGCAGGGGACTATTAAAATGGGTTCGTCCGTCCGTCTGTCTGTCTGTCCGTCACACTTTTTGGGACACAATAACTTTATTTCTAATTGAGCTAGAATGTTCAAACTTGGTGTAGGCGTTGATTAGGTCAATGCCTTGATGGAGTTCAAAGATGAGCATTTTCTGCTGAGGTTAAGCAGAGATAAGCAATTTGATTAGTTGATGCTTTGGGACACGATAACTTTAGTTCTAATTAAGTGAGAGTGATGAAACTTGGTGTATAGCTTTATTACATCAATACCATTCGATAATGAGCATTTTCTGCTCAGGGTAAGCAGAGCGACGAGCAATTTGATTGGTCGAGATTTGGAACACAATAACTCTCATTCTAATTGAGTTAGAATGTTCACACTTGGCGTAGGTCTCTATTAGGTGAATGCCTTGATGGAGTTCGAAGATGAGAATTTTCTGCTTAGGGTAAGCAGAGATAAGCAATGTGTTTGGTTGATGCTTTGGGACATGATAACTTTAGTTCAAATTAAGTGAGAGTGAGGAAAGTTGGTGTATAGTTTCATTACATCAATACCTTGACTAAGTTTTGTAAAGAACATTTTCTTCTGAGGGTAAGCAGAGCGATAAGCAATTTGATTGGTCGAGACTTTTAAACACAATAACTCTTCTTCTAATTGAGGTAGAATGTTCAAACTTGGTGTAGGCGTTCATTACCTTGACTAAGTTCGATGGAGTGAATTTTCTGCTTAGGCTAAGGAGCAATAGGCAATTTGATTGGTCAAGACTTTGGAACATAACAACTCTTCTTTTAATTGAGGTAGAATGTTTAAACTTGATTTAGATGTTCATTAGGTGAATGTCTTGACTGAGTTCAATGATTAACATTTCGAGCTGAAGCTAAGCAGAATTAATCAATTTCATTGATCGATGCTTTGGGACAAGACAATCTTAATTTTATCTGATAGAGAGTGATGAAATTAAGTGTATAGTTTGATTGCTCGATACTTTTGAAAAACATAAATGTGCGATTAATTAATATGTGTCATCTATTTATTTGGGGATTTTGGCGGGGGACATCAGCCTCACTGTTGGCTTGTTTGAATCCAGTTTCTACAGGAAAGTCGATCTTCTCATTCAAATAAGAAGAAAAATAGATGTCAGATGTAAAATTTAGTAGTGCACATAAAGAATTCCTGGTTATTTATAGGGGGTGCAAATATATTCCATACCTAATCATAAATGATCATCTGTTAGTCTCAAAATGATGTGTTGTATATGGAAAGAAATGGGTCTTCATTCCTTTCCATTATCTGTTTACAAATCCATTTCATTATTCATTCATCTTCATGGTTTTGTGTGTTACCATGTCCATTTTTTACAGGAAAAGTCAATCTATGTGAAGTTAAGGGTAAGTATAACAATATTGTACGGCCAAGGTGTTTATATTATATAGTTTGTCAAATGTTGTTATGTCTTCATCTTGCAAAACAACAACAACAAATTAATAATCTTCACTCACTTATAGATTCTTTATTTAGTTGGATTAATTCTTAGATAAACTTATAATATATAGTCTAGATGGTGGACCAGTAATTATTTATGTAAATTTTCTTTTGAAACAATGGCTGTATTTGTCAAGAGTAACTCCACTACTTGTGTCGTAAACTTTTAGTTCAAGTCTTGTTTCTTACAATAAATGACATAGTTATAATCATCATTAATCTTAAAACAATTATATAATATAGTGTCCCAAAATCTTTAAAATGATGAAATAAAATAGGCTGAAGATTTCTGATGTGACCGTGAGATCCTTAAGATATTACAAGAGTCTGGAATGGTTCTTCAGATCTTTAATATTAAAAACTTATAATAATAATTATCTACAGGACCGCGGATAACCGACTAGTACCTAATGTTACAAGTCGGATAGACCTAAAAGACTAACGTATCAAGTACAATCACATATTTATAAGGAATTACTACTAATCACTTGGTGAGATCAAGTGTTGACATAAACAAGCATAGATGTAATAATTTACAATATAAGAAATAAAACAATGGTAAATAAAACAATTAATAGATTAATCATACGGTTGGTGTGTTCACGAGAAAGGCAATATTGGCAGTTACTTTCTATCTATAAAAGTTTTATAAACAACAAGGGATTATAATAGATTAACATGTCATAAGCATTACATAAAATTTCACCCTTGGCTAGTCACCTTTTAATAGGATACATACAATTAATGTTTTGAAGGAATAGAATAGTTATTGTCCCGAGAGTTTAAATGAATTCAATTTGAAGGCATTACTTTTAAAATTAATAATGTATTAAATCTGAGATATTCAAGATTTAAATTATAACATATAACTACTATAAGCCGCATGGTTATATTGATATAGAATAGAGGTTAAGGGGATGTAATAAGTGTTATTTAGGAAAGAGACAAAGATTAGTGAAGGGTAATTTTGTAACTCTGGTTCAATAAGATAAGCAGGAAAATCGCTGGGCCAGGATGCATGAATTACACACAAATTATTGTACACAGAATTAAAAGCCCCAACATGCCAGAATAAAGGTTTAAAATACCCGAAAAAATCAAATATGTTTTTATTCAAATAAAACATTTTGCTCCAAATTAATCAAATCCAACAAATTTTAAGGCCATCCAAAGTTCACATTGGTTTCTATTGATTCCACACTGCCAACTTTATTGGTCATAGACAAGTAATAATTTTACAGTCCATATTTTATGAAGTTTTTTTTATTTATACACAGATATGCTTAATTACATAAAAACAAGTTTAACATTAAAAATTATCACATATATAGATGTGGAAGATCTGACCAAACTCAATATAATAAGAATTTAGTGTTTTATGTACAGTGAGCCTTGAAAAAAACCCAACAAACACCTGCAAATATTAAATGAATAATGATGTTCAGGAGTGAATTTGAGGAGGGGAAGCAAACAGTCGAAACTATTATTACCAGGGGATATCATCCAAATGTCCCAAGCTACTGTCCTCCACTCCGTTCCCCTTTACTTAGATTTATGAATCTGCCCCTGACATTAAGAATAAATATACTTAAATACCTTAACACAATATAACTGAACATATAGGGAATGATTTTTACAGACCATTTATAAAATAGTTATAATTTGTACTTGTTAATACTTCTCTTTTATAGCAGTCTGTATATTATATTGTAATATCCAACAATAGAGAGCTTCTTTAGTCAGTTTTATCAGCAGTTTATGGTTTATTGGTGCTGGAGCTCATTAATAACATGAATTTATTTTTTCCTTCACATTAATGTACTCGCTCACTTTGATATTATTTTAGTTTTCAGCACAGTTCAATCTTTCAGCTTTTAATGTACTGTATTAATGTCATTCTTTTTCTTTGCATTTTACTCATTTTACATTGTCAATTTTGTGTAGTGCAGTAATTACACATTTAGGCATTTGAATAGAATTGAATTTCAGTGGGATTTGAAACTGACAATTGATTGAGACTTTTAATATGATGAATTAACGGTAGTTAATATTGTGGTTTAGCATTCTTAAATTTACAAAGAAGTAGGCTAATTGATCTGCCATTGATGTAGGCTAATTGGTCCACCATTGATGTAGGCTAATTGGTCTGCCATTTATGTAGGCTAATTGGTCAGCAATTAATGTAGGGTAACTGACTGTTTCAAGGCTTTGTAGCATAATAAATATGGAATTATAGCCACCATCATGTTTCCATGGTTAATCAACTTTCTCATTAATATCATCAGTATTACTTTAATGCTTAATGCATTTTAAAATCATATTTATGTGCCATACTTCAAAGGCCAATGTGATGCTATATAATACATATCAATGTAGCAAAGCCATTATGCTCAAAATTAAAATTTTGACTACTCTTACCTTATGTAAGATTTAGATAAACAGCTGGCCATTTTTGCTATAACAGTTCCATAATAAAAAATGAATATATTGAAAATTTCAGTCAAATTACTTACATTATTATGATTGTTTGAAATTTTGACAAGAAATAGCTGATTGTCAAGTACCATTGCCATGATAATAAACAAATTCGTTATTGTCAGTCCTTCTATCGAGTGATGTCCATTTTAACAGTAACCAATTTATATGCCATGGATGGTCTAATCCAATTAATATCTCAGCCATCCAATGATTTAGAGAGTTGATTATGGGCTAGTCATGTGAATAAATGGCTAAATAATAATTTATATAACATTTGAAGCCAGAAAAAAGACCTGCAACCGGCAGATTTACCCCCTGCATAATGCATCTGTATTCTTGAAAGTTGATTCTTGCAAAAAAAGAGTTTAACTCTTATAGACAATGTAGACCAACTGTCCAGTTATACAAAGAAAGAATAGAACAAGAAAACAAATCTAGGGGGAACTTGCCACCAGACAATGCACATGAATCCCAAGGGCAGAATGCAAACAGTGATGTAAAGATTGATTAGCCTCTTGCTTACACTTAGGGTAGGAGTTTTTATACTTTAATTCATGATTAGATGAGACTTGTTGTTCACGTTGACCAATAATATGATTTTGTTTCAGCAACAAAACACAACAAGTTTGTCAATGTGGATGTAGATATTAATAAAAAGAGTGAAAGATTAGAATGGGCTACAGCGCGTTACCATGCCTACTATCGCCCAAATACAGCATTTGAATTACAAGTTCAATGGATGGTAGCTACCGGTTGTCTTCTTGGTGAACTGGTAAGATTCTAGCTTATAATTTTAAAATAAATATTCCTTCTGGGGATAAATAGGACATTATTCCACCATTTCTGCTCAAAATTGGTTGTTCTAATCAACAGGGGCATCTAGTGATCTAATATGTGCCATTTAAATCATTACATCTGTCATTCAGTTAAGTGACAATACATGTATTTCGATCCCAAGCTTTTACATGACAAGGAGTAGGGCACCTGCCCAACTTCGTTGTTTTTCTGAGGACCCCTGGGCTTCCTCCATCTGATCAAGACCATCATGCACAAGTGAAATATTGATGTAAACTTTCTACCATGTGTTAGTCCAGATATGACCTAGTGTGGTGTCAAGTAGATGTTGTAGTTCAAAATTTGGTTTTACTTGTCTTTACTACTCTAGGATCTGGAAGAGTTGTTATATAACCCACGTTCTGGTTGATGTGAGGGATTAGCTAATGAAACCGTCTGTTACGGCAAGTTTTGGGCGTGAGGTGCACGGAATTGGAGAGAAAACTCACTAGAAACATCAACACTGATTAGTTAATCAAATGTTGTATGACCTCTGATGCGATCTTCTACTACAACAGGTCAGATCTTCATGTAGTAGAGGCCATCGAAAGTTTTAAAAGACAAAAAGAAATATAGATCTGTATTTTAATCAGATTGTTGGGCGATAAAAATAGATTCACTTCATCAGAGATCAAGTTTTCACTCTCAATACAGCAATGGCTAGAGAGGGATTTCTCAGGCCATTGCTTCGGGAATATGACTGGCCTTTTGAATAACAAAATTAATGGTTGGCTGGAGCCTTATTTTAAGAATTTTCACATTTTCATCTGTAACGGTATTTATCCATACTATTACAGGTATATAGTTGGACAAGAAAAGCAGTATCTAGTGGTTTTCACTTTCTACCAGTTCCAGTTGACCCTTTTGCTTTACCTAATTCTCCAAATTCTGATCCTCTTCGTGGTCCAAAATTTGTTCCATTAAAGATGGATACTATATTCAATGACGATTTTGAGATTCAAGGTTAGTCTTCACAGTAAATACACACATTATATATGTCTACATCAGGTCTAAGTTTTCACTATGAGAATGATGCAAACCAAGCACTAGCAACTTTGGTTTTCAATGAGTAGGCACAACTGGTATTTTTGATGAGTACACCCAGCTCTGGTTTTCAATGGGTATGCAAACTAATTTCTAGATTTACATACCAACAACATTATCACAAGGTTATGGACACGGTCAATAGCCTCAAATAGTTGTATTCAACTAAGTTTCTAAGAGCCTTTCACACTTTATACTAGTTAACATATTTCAGATGGCTCCTGTCAGCCAATTTTCACTCGTAAAGTTATATAAATCTGAATCATTTGATTGACAAGTTTTAGTGATGGAGTAGCACAATAAATGTTTTGTATTAAAGATAGATAGTTTATATGTTTACCTCTTCCAAAATTAATGATTTTCCATTTCAGACCTTTCAGAAAATGCTAGGCAAGAACAGTTACTACATTTTCAACAAATTATCATTAAGAAGTGAGTATTGGTATATTTTATATATTTGACAAATTATGTAATGCTAAAAATTACTTGTACATGATTAAAGAAAATAAACATCTTAATCTGACCAAGGAATCTAGAATGAAGAGGATAAAAGTTCTTTCATTATCCTTCCATTTGAAACACATCTTGAGACCTCAGCAGGAGTGTGTCAATGTCTAAAGCAGTGGACACATTAGCCGAATCGTTCGGCGCCGAATTGTATTCGGCCGAATGGGTGGACACACTAGCCGAAAGGTTCGCCCGATTCAACCTGTCGATTGCATCACCTTTCACGTCACATGATTAAACATGGCGGCGTCTATGTCTTCAATCTTATCACGTGACTTCTCGAAATGAGTGGTGATTGGCTAATGAATTCTATATTCAGCCGAATGCTTTGGCGAAGCGGACACACCAGGCCGAATATATCAAACCTGTTTGATTCGGACGAATGACAGTAGACACACTAGGCGAATTTCGACGCCGATTGATTCGGCTAGTGTGTCCACTGCTTAAGAAAGAGAAATATAAATCAGAATTTTAACACTCTTTATTTAACTGACAGGGGGTGGAGGAGGTGGGGAGGGTGTGATCTATCAAATTGTAGATCAATGAAAGTCAGGGGTTCAATCCTAAATTGGTACATGACAGGAAGTAATCCTATTGGTTTCCCATTTTAAAGAGTCTGATGAAACAAAATATAAAATATACCATGTTAGTCCCACAATAATCTGGTTAAATCACATCTCTCTTTATCCCCTCCACTTTACTCTCTACCTGTTAACCACTGGCAACAAACTGAACTTTTTTCTTCTTTTCATACAGGTTTGGTTTTCTTCCTGCTGGTGTATATTCAGCTGGAGTGATATCTGACGATACTAATACTGAAGTTAACCAATATGTACATTGTACTGGTGGTATGTTCATCATTATACCAGATTATAAACTATTATCTCCTAAATCAGTTGAAACACATTACACCTCAAGCTTTAGTAAAAGATCATCATCAGATCTTTGTAAAGATTACATTGCTCGACAACAGGAACCAGAAGAATCACATACAGAAACAGGTTTTCTTTGGTCGTGGAATTTCATGTTGTCAAAACGCTGGAGATCGTCAAACACCGGAGATGAACATTTCCAAAATAAAGTGTTGGCCGATTTTAGGAAGTTTGTATCAAACAGCGATGGTCGTTTATTAGAATTGTGGAATGAATACAAAACAAAAGATTTATAATTTATTTGTCTGGATATTTAAATAGTGCTGTGATTCAAGATATTTGTGCTTTAAATGCCACTCATGCCATTAAGAATGGCATTACGGTAATACTGTGTGTATTATTTTGACAGATGATGTATGATCTGGCTTTGGTATGTCGGTATTATGTTAGTCTAAAAATTGTATGTGCCATGTTCAAGAATTTACATTTAAAATTTATAAATATTTTATGAATTCAGTATGCATGAATATGTGCTTTTAATTTGTACCCAAGTGCTTTATCATTGAAGTAATCTTATGTTTAAAAAACATTATGCAAGATTTAGAGAAAGCTGGCCAATTTTGCTATAATAGTGAAAAATGAATGCATTGAAAATTTCAGTCAGATTACTTTATTCGAAGAATGTTTGAAGTTTTGACAAGATACGTAATTGGCAGATAAAACTCAGCCCACAGTTCATATTCTCGATTGTTAAGTGCCATAGCCATGATAGTAAATGAAGTCTTTGATTGCCAGTCCTTTTATCCAGCCATATCAGCATTTGACGCAGATATGGCAGTCATTGTCTAATCCACTCAATATCTAAGTCATCCAATAGTCTAGAGAGTTGATTATGGGTTTGCCTGTTTGTCATGTGAATAAAAGTCTAATTTATATAACATTTGAAGCCACAAAAAATTGCCTGGTAATAGGCAAATTTAGCTAGAATTAAGGATTACAGCGAAAGCTGTGCTTGTGTTAGCTTTTCAAGAAACAAACTCACATTAACACATTTGAATTACCGTATTAGCCCCCATGGTATCACAAGTCCCAATAAATTATTACACCTATTCCTTTGTTTCAATTACCCAATGGATATGAAAAAATCCATGTTTGTTTTTTTTACCATAAGTGTATATAGTTGATTTTATTACAATGTGATATGAATGATATGCTGTGATATGATAAAGTGTTGTTATAAAATTATATATTTTTTACCTTGTTCTGTCAGTATTTTGTAAAGCGCCACAGAGCAGTCAAATGATTATTATTAAATGTAGGTGTAGAATTCCACCATATATATTTCGTACATGATTTATTGAATACACATCACGTCAATTTTTGGTATTTTGTTTTACATTCACATTTACAAAACTGTTTAATATAATTAAATTTCCATCTGTATTTTGTTTCAGTCTTAATCTATTAATTGGTCCACACTGCAGAGGCCACATGAGTTCAACTGAACATAAACTTATTAAAGATGTAGTTATACTAGTTAGGATAGTGTAACTATCATCAACATAAATAAAATAAATGTAAAGACAATCAAATTCTAATTAAACAGCTGTGTTCATTTCTGTGCTGAATTTAATGATGGGGCTCATTGTTAACAATTCTTGATGACCTCTCTATTTGTGTATTTAGCTATTATTTTTAAACAAATAACAAAAATGAATTTAACATGAAGTCTGTTTTGGATCAACAATTTTTTTTAGAAAAATTAAAACATCTAATTGTTTTAGGACATATTTAGGCCTAAAATCTTGGTACACTGTGCAGCTTCACTATTGGCACTGCCTTAAATTTGGCCCTAGTTCCAAGAAGTGGAATGAAATAGTTTATTGCATTAAGTAATCATTTGGCTTGTGTAGATAGTTGTATGCAACTACCATTAAAGATGTATTTATCATCTATATGTCATGTTACAAAGGTCAGTAAAGTAATGAAGTATAAAAGTGATATCAATTAATCGATTTGCAGTTTTGTCTTGACGTGCACATAAAAGATCCCTTGACAGTTGGAATTCGATATGAGTAGGCCGTAGTGCCACTGTCCGGGCAAAATTTTCCCTATGGCACACTGTATGGCGTATGCCCGTCTTCATTAGCCCAGTTCGGAGCAGAACAGTAGGATGTTAAACCCGATTTCATTCCATTTCCTCTTCCATATACTGATGTTCTAATGTCAACATCTTCAATAGAAGGCTCAATCTCGCTTTAACTACGTACATCTTATCAAGGCCTTCACGTAATACCCTGCATATTTCAGCACTAATTTTGATTGGGTACAAGCCCAGCTTGTGAGCCAATCTGATTCCTCGATCGTCGCGAATACCAAGTCTCACGCTTTCAAGCTAAAATGTCTACCTGTGATAATCAAGTTGCAAAGTTCAAGGTTCATTCACTGTCAAGGTTTCCGTGGAGGTTGCGATGTCACAACCTCTGATTGGACGCTACTGCTCACCTGTCTCTAGATAACATAGCTATAAGTTCAGGAATTGAGAAGTAAACAAGCAACGTCCAGAGGTTTTAAAACTCGCAGTCGTTGCTTCAGGAACATGTAATATCAATAGATCAGTTCTAAATATATAAACTCACTTATTTTTACACTTGCATGGTCCCTCTTATAGAGCAAGACCATCAACAGTCATAAAATGGTAGCATCTTTCATTGGCTAGTAATGAGATGGTCTGAAAGGCCTTTTCATATTGTTTTGACAGTTATATATAAAAGAATATATCGATGGCTTAGAGCACAACTGTACTATGTCCATTTTTGGTGAAAATAAGATTTTTAGATATTAAAAATCCTTATTCCAGGGCGCTTGTTGTGTAAAAAGATACAAGTCCCCTGACAATTTAAAGCTGTCGAAAAGGCACAATAACCATAAGTGTTATGTACTACCCACATATTTCTTTAGAGCACACATAGTCCATGTCCGGACATAAGTCTTTTGTGCATTTATTCTGGCAAAAAAGTGCGGACATAAGTCATTTGTACATCAATTTGAACAAAAAAGTACGGACATAAGTCATTTGTTGTGCACTACCCACATATTTCTTTAGAACACACATAGTCCATGTCCGGACATAAGTCTTTTGTGCAATTATTCTGACAAAAAAGTACGGACATAAGTCATTGTGGATCACATTTATCCAAAAATCAGCTGTATGCTGTGCTTAAGTTGAAGTGCGTCTCTATCAGCCTATTTGAATTGATTCAAGCAATAATCTTTCCTGAAACCATATACATCCACTGATAACTTACTTTTTTATAGCTTATTGAAATCTTAAAATACGTTTTTTTCTCAAACCTTAAAAATGGACATAGTACAGGTGTGTTCCAAGCCATCGATATGTTCATTAACAACAATAGGGTAATGTACCAGAAAGTTGTGAATTAAATAAATTTGATGTTTACATGGGATACGTATATATGGATAAGAAAGCTGTTAATTTTTGTTTCCTTTATGTGTGTTTTTTTTTCATAATGTACAATATCTAGTCAAACTATGTAAAAGGGTAAGAAATGCTTATATGATATATATATGATTTGTTGGTTGTGATGTATCAGAATGGTTATTAACTGTATTAATATATATCATTTCTACATACAATGTAATCAATTTCTGGATTTTCTTATTAAACACAAAACTCAAAAACTTTGTTTCATCGTTTATTATGTGATCTGATAAACATGACTATTAGATACTGTTTGTAAACATGGCGAAGAAGAGCAAATTAAACTGAATGTTGGTATTGTTTTCAAAACACTACAGAGCTAGTGGAGAAAATTCATAAATCGAGTAGTAAACAATGGAAATTGTTGAAATTCAAAATGCATCTTTGATTCACCAGTGCAAATAATGCATTTAAATTTGCCTAAATTTTGTATGATAACCTTTGTCATTGTATCATTCACAAGTAATTAGCAAATTACTGAAAATTGCTGGAATTCAATAGGCTTTCTCCCCTCACTAATGTTAACAACGTACATAAATTTTATAAAGATCGCATGCTAAATGTAGTCTGTAGTGTAGAGTTTTCATAAGAAATTGTGGATTACAGACAGACGGGGGAAACAACAATATATGACAATATTTCCATGATGGCATATATAAAAATACAATAAATTAACAATATGTAACTTTCTTTTAACAATTTTTCAATAATATGAAAATATATCATGTATATGTACATATATAAATAAATTATCATTCACAACAATTTCTATCCTAAACGTTGACTTTTACAGAAAAGTATTTTCATTTCCTTTGTATCACCTTTTTTCACTCAATATAATCAAAATCATTTGGTATAGAAAACTGTTTGTCAATCACATTGTCATCAAATGAAAACTTGTTCTTGATCCATGATTTGGTAGAGAAAATATTATCTGTAAATACAAGTGTTTTAGTATGTATAAGAATATACACATCAGACTCACTCCGTACAAGACTGACTTTCTCTGCAATTTATTTTAGATAGCATACCTTCTCAGGGCCTTAACTAGCTCAGAGCAACCTGGGGGGCGAGAAGTGTTCTCAGGGGTGCTGTTAAAATTGACAAACAATGTATATCAATTTTTTTTTAAGGTCGAATACGGGCCTGTACCTTCTTCTCTGTGGTTATAACTAGGCGTGGCAAACTCATAACACTGAATCACTTGGTTTTATCTGAACCGTTTCCATGTATGGGTTTAACTTGGTGGTTCCAAACCTTTTGTTGGTTGCGACCCCATTCCAGAAACCAGCATCTTATCGCGACCCATCGAAGAACAAAGTCACCTTTTACTAAGAAACACCATTATTTACAGATCAAAATGTTGTAATGAGAGACTGAGGAAACAAATCGTGAGAGGGAATAGATGATTGGCAATGTGGCAAGAGGTGTATAGATCAAAGATTTATATACTTTTCATGGAAACATAGCATTTTCCCAAAAAGTTTCAGAGTAGTCTGCCACAACCCCACAAAAAGTGCTTCTCGAACCCACTTCAACCCAGAGGTTGGGAACCATGAAAGATTGATAACAGTAATTATTTAACAGAAAGGACAATTGAGAAATCTTTAAAGTAGTGCTAAAATTTACAATTACAAAACAATAATTTTTTTTTCATGACAAAGATATAAATTTATAAAAATTGTAATATTTTAGACTAATTTGAATAATTACTTTTTCTTGGTCTCTACCCAGAAAAAACACTGACAATATTCTTTAGATATTTGACATGTGAGTAGTACTGAAAATACCATCACCATAATGGTTCTCCAAATGTATCACAATAACTTTAAATAACTACTTGCTAACCTGTCCATCTGTTTGCAGCTTCCTTAGCAACAACTGTTTCCTTTTTAACCTGTTCAAGAACTTCAGGATCACATTCTCTGTATTTTTCTAAAGTAGCTAACACCTTAACCTTCTCTTCTTGTTTATTGGCTAACTGAGATAAAATATCTTGTCTTTCTGTCTGTAATATAAAGTACGTTTAGGTTGGATTTAATTACTAGATCTACAAAAGAAAGAACACCAAAACATCTTCATTGAGAGTTGCTGATAGCTGCACACCATTTTTCACTCAGTTTTATTTCATTAATTCGCTTCCTCATAGGTTTCCTTAGCAGTGGATAAAACACAGAGAACCTGGAGAAAGCCCACGAAATTGGACAGGTGACCCTACTCCTTGTCATGTACAAACGGTGAATCGAAACCACGCCACTTGACTCATGACAGACCTGATGAAACACGCATGCGTTAACCATTCGGCCACCCAACCCCATCAGCAAAGTACCTCACGGCTCACCACTTTCAAAAGAATAAATTTTACAAGTAAGAGAGGGAGAAATTGGGTTTAATGTCCACCCAAAATAAGTAGTTAATTTATTACCAGTAGACCCCATAGAAAACCCATGAGATTACGATCTATTAAGGGATATAACTCACAGTACAAAATCATCTGGTTCTCTTTTCTCCCCCACCCTACCCCCTCAGTCCCATTTTTTAAAAAGCACAAATAAATATACATACGGTGTCTTCTTTACCAATTTTTGATTTAGCTACCATTTCTGTTAAATTGAACTCTTTATTCTCTAAATCATTCAGCTGTTTCTTCAAATCATCTATTTTCCTTTTTCTCTAGCAAACAAAATAACAGTTTTTAGATAATATTATGATACTGTCGTTTTCTTGTTGTTACAATGGTGTTTCCAATGATTGAACATTATTGAACGATTGGCTTCTTAAACTATAAATAAATTCCAAACAAAATAGCTCAAGAAATGTTCTTAGAGCAAATGGAAACCAATATTGCTTTGAAAAGCCAAATTTCTCACATTTTTAGCAAGAATTAAATTATTAGGTTAAATAATATAAAATGATGACTGATCAAACTGTTCAGACATTAAGCTTACATTTTGACTGGCTTTACTGGGAAATGCCCAGAAATAAACAGAAGTTCCAATCTTATCAGTATCCACCATTCCATCATAAACTAAACTCATGAGGATTTCTTTAACAGACATTGAAGTGATTCCCTTTTCTTTCTGGCATAACTTCTCTAATTCTTTTAACTGATAAAACTCTTTCTGAAAATATAGAATTAAGTTGGTAATGTAAATTCACATACATCGCATTCATTTATAAATAATGTTATAAAATTCTCATTTTCGACTTGTCAAAGAAAATGTTTGAAAGAAGAAGTTTTAAAAATGGCGGGGGGTTGGATGGCCAAATGGTTATCACATGTGCGCTGTATCACGAGGCCTGTCATTGAGTCAACTGGCGTGGTATCGAATCCCCGCTTGTACGTGACAAGGAGTAGGGTTGCCTGTCCAACATCCTGGGTTTTTCCAGGTCCTCCGGTTTCCTCCCACTACTAAAGACCCCTACGCGCGAGTGAATTATTGAAATAAAATTAAACCATGTTAGTCCTAAATTTACCTAGTCTGTGTCGAGTGGACGTTAAACCCCATTTCTCTCTCTCTCTTTAAAAATGGCACTTGCTTATTTTTGAGTGAAGCCTGTACCAATGCAGGCCTGGGATTGTACAGTGCCAGGCAACGAAACATACGCCCACAGCAGCTAAGTCATCCGGGAAGTCAACAAGAGTTGTCAGTAATGAGAACACATTTACAACACATGAAAATTTGATTACGAGTAATAACTTATGAAGTAATTATCAGAAAGCATTAGAATATTTAGCCTCTAGAGTGAATGAAATAGAGTTTTAGAGAGAGAGAGAAATGGGGTTTAAGGCCACTCCACACAAACTATGTCATTTCGGGACTAACATATGGTTCAATTTTATTTCTGTAATTTGCTTGCACGTAGGTGTTTATAGCAGTGGGAAGAAACCGGAGGACCCAGAGAAAACCCACACGGTTGGACAGGCAACCCTACTCCTTGTCACGTACAACCGGGGAATCAAAACCACGCCAGCTGACTCAATGACAGACATTATGATACAAGGTGCACACGCTAACCCAATGATTCTCAACAAGTGCGCCGTGGCATTTCTAAGTGTGCCGTGAAATTTTGAATGGCACTCAAAGAAAATGCAAAAAACCATGTGATCCCAAATGAGTATTCACTGGTGTCTACTGGTAAGTTCTTTGTTTAGTTGGAGTCATTCTATGTGTCTATGACTAGCCTGTGTCTACGGTTGTGTGCCGTTTATGACTTGCCATGTTTTTGTTTTGCAAAATTCAAATATTTTTCATATATTTAACCAGGTGTGCCGCTATTTTTTCATGTGTTGCAAGGTGTGCCATTGGCAAAAAAGGTTGAGAACCACTCCGCTAACCATTCAGCCATCCACCCCCCTCCCCCCTGGGATAGATTTTTAGCCTCTAGAGCATCCACAAGATTTTTCAAAGTGATCAAGGGCCTTAACTTTGGCAGTAATTATCGGAAATCGTTGAAAATGAATAGGATTTTTTGTCACATGACCTTAAACACTGTGTTTAAGTCTAAAGTCAATCAGATACATGTATTAACTTTAGCCTCAAGAACTTCTACAAGATTTTTCAAGGCAGTAATTATCTAAAATAGTTGAAAATCAATAGGATTCTTCAACTCATAACCTAAAACACTGTGTATTTTGGTATTTCTAATTTTGGTATCGATTTCAGTAGAATTGTATGATGCTAACTGCTTTGTGGGATTGTTCTTGTTTATTGCTAAGAAAAGACACTTATTATATGGGTGCTAGATTTGTAAAAACATTTATTATGTTCAATAGAAAGTGAATCTATACGCACAATTTCATACTAGCATATAAAGATCGCTTGGTTTGTATGGTTCTTCGAGGAACTTCAAATCCCTATTCAAATCATGTATGGCACTATTTTTTGTAGAGTTCCACTACAATAGCTTTAAGTTCAAAACAGCTATCTTACTTTTTCATAGAAGAATTCCATCATCTTTGTCCTCTTTTCTTCTGCACTCAACCCTTTTTTTCTTGACTAAAATATAAAGATATTGATAATGTAGCAGGTCTATAGCATACATATGGTGTGTTATAGATGGTTCTATTCTGCATCCTAGATGGGTTGTTTTATACTGAGTATCCAATCTCTGTTAATATAAAGAGCTGCTGATACTTGTTGTCATTTCTGTGGGATGTAGAGGTGAAAGACTTGTGCGTCCTGATCTCTGTGGACATCTTAAGTAAAGTTACATAAATTCATTAAAAGGGCATATTTAAACTTACATTATGCAAGAGCTAAATCTGCCTATTGCAGGTCTTTCTTTAGGCCTGAAATGTTATCTAAATTATTGATTAGACGTTAACTTATAATCCAGACCATAATCAACTCTCAATGTCATCGCTAGCCTGCAATATTAATTACTGGATTAGGATCCGATTTGCTGCTCAACTTTCATTCATGATTAAATCATGAAATGGATAATCAAGACTATGTTTTTTTATCGTACCAGTCTAACTTTAGTAATGAGGATCGAGGCTAGGCCACAAATTCAATAGCTAAATTCTCGGTTCAGAGTGGATCAATTTGACTGAAATTTTCAGCAAATAACCTTTACATTATCTAGTTTTTAACTATTATAGTGAGAACTGCCAGGTCTCTATCTAATCTCCCATAATGTATCTTTAACTATAGACCTACATCCCTGGTTGACTAATTTAAATTTGTTGCACTTGTTTTAAACAAGAGCATATATCCATACATTTTATCTGAATTTTCATTAAATTAAACCAAGCAAATATATTGACATTACTTTCAGATTATTAAGTCTATGTAGGCCTATATAAAATATAACTGTAGGCCTATCAACCTGGAATTGTACCGTGTCCATTAGTTCAGCTCTGAACATAGGTCTCATTAGGTCTGGCATTGAGTCGGGCATGGTTTCGTGTCACTTCTGACAAACGATAAGGTCACCTGCTTAACCTCGAGAAATTTCTCTGGGTCCTCTGGTTTCCTCCCACTGCTATTAAGACCTAGGCAGGCTACATGCAAGCAGAATTAATATAATAAATTTTAATTACATTATTTATATGTTATTCCCGAAATAATCAAGTTTGTTTGGAATGTGAACGCCTTAAGTCATAACGACCAAAATTCACTTTGGTCAAAACTGCCATATTTGTCACCCTCTCTCCCCCTCCCAGTTTGAGGACAGTACAATTTCTTTCGGAAATAATTAGTTACTCCCACTGCCTGGTTTCCAACGTGGTTTCCCCTTGTCAGTGGTGAATGGATGGAGGGCCTGACAAGGACAGCTGTTTGATGGGACGAAAAACTGAGGTCCCGTGCGTATAGATATACATTGGCATGCACGTACATAAAAAGATCCCTTGACACTTGGCAGTTGCAATCCGATATAAGAGTAGGCCATATATATAGTGTCACTGCCCGGGCAAAATGTCCTTCATAGCACACTGTATGGCGTATGACCGTCTTAATTGGCCCAGTCGGAGCAGAACAGTAGGAGTAGGACATTAAACCCCATTTCATACATTTCCCAATGCCTGGTGTGTACTGTAATATTCACTAGGGACCGGGTATCATTCAGATTTGATGAAAAAAGGAAAGAAACTGAGCTTACCATCTATAATCTAATACACATATTCAGTTAATAGATTGCCATGCAGAAAGTATTAAATACCATCAAGATTCATCAAAAACCTCCCAGTTTGTGCTACCGTTTAGTTTGACATCGGTTGTCTAGTTTATGAAACTAAATGGTCATAAACTGGATGACCAATATCAAATCTAATCTAAATCATGATTTACTAAATGGTCATAAACTAGATGACTGATGTCAAAACTAAATGGTATTTCTTAAACTAAATGGTAGCACAAACTGGGAGTTATTTGATGAACCTTGATGGTATTTAATACTTTCTGCATGGCAATCTATTAACTGAATATGTGTATTAGATTATAGATGGTAAAGGGTCCTGTTTCACGAAATTTTAACTAAAGATAAAATCCAAATTTTAGTAGATACTTCGATTTTGATTGGCTAAGCACTATAATCAGTCTAATATTATCCAATCAAATTACTAAAATTTGGATTTTATCTTAGTTAAAATTTCGTGAAACAGGCCCCAGTTTCTTTTCTTTTTTCATCAAATCTGAATGATACCCGGTCCCTAGTGATTGTGATTTACTCTTTTAGCCTATTAATTAGACCTATTGTCCATCATCTAATTATTATGCATTTTTCATTATGATAATCAACCGATTATTCCCCTTCAGCTGGATTAGCCAATACCAGATGTCACTTGCTATGGACACATTTTAAACTATTACAATATTTACCATTTTCTCACTCGTGTTGATGTTTATAAAACCGCGGGAGTTTTCGTAGTCTAGAATAACCAGACGGACTTTGTCGATCGTGAACATCCGGGTAATTGACCTAGATAAACCAAAATGGAGAGGAAATCGCTTTACAAACACAAAACTCAAACCGTTGAGGAGAAGAGAAATCAGCGAAGACAAGAAGAAATAGGTATATATATTTTTATTGATCATATCCTACACCCCTTTTGTTTAATGAACTCTAAAATTCGTAGACCAACTTTTGCAAACGAGGCAGTCAACGCAAACACCGGGAATATAAACATCGGGCTGCACCACTCCACGCGCTTGGTAGTCTGGATTTACTAGCGTCTATTACTATTGTCTAGACCATAATTCCATTGAATTTATCTTTGGATTGGGAGCACTGGGTAATATCAGCTGTGTTATGTTTACAATAATAATAAATTTTGATTAAAGAACGGTAATCGCACGTTTGATTTTTTATTGACCAGAAAAGTGAAACATCATTTTTGTGGTTTCAATCCTTATTGTCTTTGTTTTTAGCTACTAACAGCAGTAACAGGTAGGCCTAGATCTAGTCTACCACCATATTGTTGCGTATGTCACTGTCAGTATGATTTCTATTATGATGAGATAAATCTAACGTTTGTTTATAGCCAGAAGTGGAACCCATTCAATTTACCTCACAAACTTATTTTGTTTATTACTGAAGAACATTTAAGTCATTATTTATTAATAGGGTCAATCAAATAAAAAAAATCAGTCTGATTATAATATATCGTAATTACAAAACAAATTATGTTGTAATTTAAGTAGATGTAATCAGAATAATTTACAGTAACCAAATGGTATTAATGAGAGCTTGAAATTAATAGAATGATAATAATAGTCGTTTCGAACCTCCTTGATGGGCTTCATTCAAACCAGTTTCAACCCCGACCGGAAAATTATCTTCCACTGATATTTTGATTTTTTTTTTTCTTAATTAAAAACCGTACCGGTAGTTAAAGAATAAATTTGTTTAGTGTGGATTACGATGTGGAAAATTGATATTTTCTGAAAAATGAAAATGACAATTAATTTAATAAGTGCATGAAATAAGATAATCAGAATATAGTTTTTCATTTGATTGGCCCAAACCTAATGATCTTCCTTAGTTTATTCATTCATATTACGTCTGAGAAATAAAATGATTTTATACAATAAATGGTCTCTATGAAATAGTACAAATCTAAAGGCAAAATGTGGTGTTTTATAATATTTTAAAAGAGTAATTGTCTCTTACATGGAGCTATGTATTGATACCAGATTTATTGTGCCATGTTTTGTATCAAAACATTTTGTTTTTGTAGCCAAAGTTCTTCAAAAACCAGTGGTCTTCTTTTTCTCTGTGAATATCTGTGAAGTAGTTTTTGCACATTGTCCATATTTGGAACTTTTAGAAATAATAAAGTATGAATTGAAATGTTATTGTACATTATTTAATCATTCAGATGTTGATCATGAATTAACATGAGACTTTCCTTTTATTAGATCAAAGAAAAGCAAGAAGAGATAAATGTGTTAGTGATAAAAGATTTCGTCATAGTTTGAGTGAAGACACAGATGCTCAAGGAGATGAAATTTCTGAGCAAGAGGTAATTTAACATGTTAAACAATATATGTCTAAAATAAAATAAAGTGACTAAGCCAACATTTATAATGCATTTGTTTTTCAGGTCCGCTCTTCAATTTATCTGTATTTCTCATAACATTATATACATGTAATATATCCATGTACAGTATATATGGTAATATATGTGGGGGTGTTGGAAAGTACAAGTAGGTTAAATTCCAATATGGTGTGATTGTCAACAATCCTAAAATAAATAAATTCTAATTTGCTTATATAGTAATAATAGCAGAAAAGTTAAAAGTACTTTTACATTAAACATTTTGACCAGTAATAATATGAAAACTGGCAAATAGTTACTAAATAGATATTTATAACTTTTCCATCCAAAATGTTTGTATTTATTTGTTCTAAATTCTGTGTTCAATATCTGAAAGAAATATGTTCATTTTATATTTACAGGTTATTGATGCAACTAATGTTCTACTCAATAAAGAACCAGAAAAGCTTGAAGCTCTTCAAACGTTGAGGAGGGCATTTGCTCAAGGCACAACATACATTGATACATTCTTTGGGTAAGAACTTCTAACTATTATTATTATTATTATTATTATACTTACATGTATGCGAAATAATATATTTTACTGAACCACTATTTAGGTAGTTAAATGTATGAGGAAATTTTATCCAGATGGTGGTGTTATGTCTACTCATATTTCGAATTAAGAAAACTACAGTATTGTGGAAGTTAATTAGAATACTTGTCCAAGAATGGTTTAGTTCTATTCAGTGTTTTCAGAGATATGATGCTTTGAAGATTTGTCAACATTCAGCATCCTGTCCAACTACCTACAATCAACGATAAAAATGTTTTGATGAGGAGATTATCTACCATTGATATTTTGATTTTGTATTCTTAATTGTTAAATAATCAATTTTAGTATATTATAGAGTGGATTTAAGTGTAAAAAAAAGATAGATATTGTCCGACAGTCAGCAGATATAGTTATTAATTGTCATTAATTATAAATATTGTTTTGTTGTTGTTTTTCAGTCAAGAGAATGCACTAACATGTTTGGTAGGAATATTAACTGGTAATGATACAGATTTACAGTTAGAGGCAGCATGGTGTGTAACTAATATAGCTGCTGGTACAGATGACCAGGCATTAGCTGTAGTTAAAGCAGCTGCACCATATCTTATTACCTATCTCAGTAGTAGTAGTCCAGATCTCAAGGTAAATTATTGTATTTCAGAGCCGGAGAACGCTAGATCGGAGGCGGTCCTGCGCATTTCATGGCGTCATGTGTGGGTTAGGGTAAGGGCTAGGACCTGCAGATTTCGTCATAGTCTCGAGATGTAGACAGGGCTAGCCCTAACCCTCGGCCAAACCTTACCCTAACCCATAATCCACATATGATGTCATAAAATGCGCAGGACCATCTCCGATCTAGCGTTCTCCGTAAGAGCCATTGTTTTCTTTATTAGTCAAACCATTTAAAGTAGCAATATTGTTATTGATTTATAAAAACAACGATCATAAAGTTTGTCAAGAAAGTAACATTTAGAAATAAACAATGAGCAGACTGGAGCTTAAAGTATTTCTAAATTGTACTGAAATGTAATCCTTCATGTAAACTTCATAGAACTAAATTAAAAATATATGATTTTTTTATAGGATCAGTGTGCATGGGCTATAGGTAATTTAGCTGGTGACAGTGCTGAATGTCGTAAACTACTAAGTTCACAGGGATGTGTTACACCTTTAGTCAAATTATTAGAGGTAAAGTATTAAGGAATATTATTATTTTAGATCTATATACCTGATACTGTAAAATCTTATTTTAAAAATGCAGTATGTAAAAGCTAAATCACCTATTGCAGGGGTTTTTTTTGGCTTCAAATGTTATATAAATTATTATTTAGACATTTATTCACATGACAAACCTATAATTAACTTTCTACAACATCAGATGGTGCAGATGTAAACGGATTGAAATACGATCACCATTTATTGATTTAGTTTAAAAATGGAGAAGCGAGACTGAGTCTTGATTAACATGTAAAGTTGCTATAATATTAAACAATCTATGCCACATCTTGTCAAAACAGTGATAACAGGTCTCAGAATAAAGTAATTTGAATGAAATTTTCAATATATTAATTTTGAATTATCTATTATAGCAAGAACAGCCAGCTCTTTATCTAAATCTTACATAATGCATCTTTAAACAAATATTGAAATAAAAATCACATCATATTCATACAGACTTTCCAATATCACTTAAAATTGAGACAGTCAATATACGTAAACCTTCATAATAAAACATCAGTGCCAGATGTTATTACATTACTCTCCATATTGTGCTGTAAACATGTCGTCTTGATCTATTATTAATTAACTATGAGTTGCAGCTGTATTTCCTTTAGAAAATGAAATGGGGTTTAACGTTCTATTGTTATGCTCCAACTTGGCCATGAGGGAAATTTTGCCCAATGTGTACAAAGGACCTCGGTTTTTAGTTTCCATCTGAACTATTATACGTTGTCCCTTGCCAGGCCCTTGGTCCTGCACCATTGACAAGTGGGAACCACACCAGAAAGTCCTGATGAGCTATGTCGGATCGAACACGGGACCTCCAGGCTAGTTAGCATCGTGGCTCCGTATTTCCTTTAGGATATTAACTGATGCAACGAATTGTAACAATGTGAACGTAAGTTTACTGTAGATGTATATCCCATCCAGATATGAATGTATTGTAATGTATATTTCACTTTCAGACTGATACACCTAATGTTGTGCAATCAGCAGCTTTTGCTTTATCTAATCTTGCCAGAGAATGTAATGACATCGCTAGGTATGTAATTTTCTTCCATTATTATTGGTACTGTAGTAGATGTAAGGAATTGGATTATTTCATTATTCTAATCAATTTATTTGAAAAAAAAAAATACCACAGACAAAGATTCTAAAACGTGTATGTTTGATATTTTTCAGTGAAATAGTAAATGCAGGAGTTATCCCCCATTTGGTGTCCAGATTACAAGATCCTGGTGTTTCACCCAAATTATTATCAGAAATAGCATGGGTTTTAACATATCTTACTTCTAGGTTTGTATAATTATCAATTAGTATATGGTAATACTTCCCAGATAGGTAAATCACTGATTACATATTATTACATATTGTTTTGTGAAACTGATTAGAAATATGTACATTAATGAAAGTGTTATTGTTTAGTGAATTATAAAATGTATGTATTGTAATTATTATTTCAGTGGTGAATATACAAGTAAATTAGTATCCAATGGTGTTTTAAAACATATGGTTAAAATACTAGTAGAACAAGCTGATCAACAAGATGTAGATGTAAGTAGATTAACAACCCACAAGCAATTTTTATACGCCCACATTGAAATATGGATGTATATTGCCATCGCCGCTGTCCGTCCGTCTGTCCATCACCCACAATTTCTTGTGAACGCCCTAACTCCAAAAGTTATTATTTGATTGTTTTAAAATTGATATATGTGGTTTACATTAGTGAGATGAAGAAGCCTATTTAATTTCAATAATTTCTGTTCATTACAGTTTGTTGAACCTTGTGAATGCTATTACGCAAAAAGTTATCATCCAATCTTTGTGAAATTTATATGCATTATTTAAATATGTGAAATGAAGAAGCCTATTGAATTTCAGCAATTTCCGTTTATTAAGTCTAGCGTTATGGCCCTTGTTTCACTTTATTGAACCTTGTGAGCTCTAACGCCAAAAGTTATCACCCGATCTTTGTGAAATTTATATGCATGATTTAAATTTCAACAATTACTTCTAGAGTTATGACCCTTGTTTTACTTTGTTGCACTTTGTGATCTGTATGAAATTTATATACGTGCCATGTTAGTAAAAAGAACAATCCTACTGAATTTCAGCAATTTCCGTTTATAACGTAATTTTGGCTCGTTTCACGTTATTGAATCTTGTGAACACTCTAACGCCAAATGTTTTTATACGATATTTGTGAAATTTATATGCATTATTTAAATTAGTGAAACCACGAAGCCTATTGAATTTCAGCAATTCACAATAATTACTTTGTTCAACCTTGGTAATGCTCGATTAATGAAAGTTTAGTTATCATCCGATATGTATGAAATTTATATGCCTCATTTAAATTTGTGAAACAGAGGTCTATTGAATTTCAGCAATTTCCTTCAATAATTTCTAGAGTTATGGCCCTTGTTTACTTTCTGAACCTTGTGAAAGTTTGAATGACAAAAGTGATCATCCGATCTGTATGAAATTTATATGCATTATTTAAATTAGTAAAACGAAAAAGCCTGTCAAATTTCAACAATTTCTGTAGACTACTTCCAGAGTTGAGACCCTTGTTTCAGTTTGGAGAACCTTGTGAACCTTCAAATGACAAAAATTATAATCTGATCTGTATGGAACTGTCTTTGGAAAGGCCCACAATTACCTACAAAAGAATAAATATGCGACAACCCTTGTCAACCACTCAGACGATTTAGCTGCTGTGGCTGTGTGTTTCGTTGCCTGGCAATGTATCTTATAATTATGTGGTATCATGATTCAAAACCATGAAGGGGGCCACTGTGACTCAGTATGTAAGATGCTAGCTAGCTAACCTGGGGGTCCTGGGTTCGCTCATGGTGTTGGGCCAGAAAGTTTCTGGGGATTTTTCGTCATGTCGGTAGTGCAGGAAGAAAGACCTAACAAGAAACAGTGTCTAGTCGTTTGGATGAGACAGAAAACCAAGATCCTTTGTACACATTGGTGTGCTTGTAAAAGAACCCTTCCCTTGACAATTGGAATTTTTAATAAGGGTACTACACCGTAATGCTGCTGTCCGGGCAAAATTTCCCTCCAAGCACACTGCCTGGCATATTAACCCACTCAGTGCAGAAAAGTAGGATGTTAAATTCATTTAATGTCATTTAAAAACATAAAAATAAGTAGATGTTGTGAATCATATAATCAGTTGTCTTAATTTATTAAAGGAGATTGCAGTGATTGTAATATTTGCATGTATTTTACAGGTATTAACACCAGTATTGCGATGTCTTGGTAATATTTGTAGTGGACCTGATGAATATAGTATACAGGCATTTGAAAATACCAAATTAATTCCTGCTCTTGTTACATGTTTAAATTCCGAGCATCATCATATACCTAAAGAAACACTGTGGGTTCTTTCAAACATGACTGGTAAATCTATTTTATTTTTTTGAAGTCACAATCTCAAGTATTTAAATATTAGTAAACTGAATTAAGAAATATTTGACTTTGTTGTTGAAGTTTATTACTGAATAATTTTAGGTGAGAAGACGGTGTGTGAGAAAGTAACAAATGGTCCATTATTAGAACCTATTCTAGCTAAATTAAAGGCTGCTTATGATATAAAAATAGAGGCAAGTACAATATATTTAATAAATACATAAAGTCAGTACAATCTGACCAGAATATCATTTCTGTGTATCTGCTGGATCAAACAATGATTAATGCCGGTGGAGACAGTAGACATGAATAGATATATAAAAATCCCCACTCAACAGTACATACTGACAGATTTTCAGTAGAAATGAGAGGCGTTTTATTCTTCATAATGTTTCAGGTGATACAACCCATTTTTATACGCCCACATTTTCATGTGGACGTATATTGTCGTCGCCCCTGTCTGTCCGTCCACAATTTGTTTGTGGACTCTCTACAGGTCACAATTCTTGTCCGATTTTGACGAAACTTGAAATATAGCTTTATCCCAAAAAAATCTCGGCTGCTTTTGATATTGGCATGTATCGGATCGAAACTTCATGGATTATGGCCTCTGTTTGTACGAAAAATCACGTTTTTAGCTTGTGGACCCTATAGAGGTCACAATTTTTATCCGATTTTGTTGAAACTTGAAATGTAAGTTTATAACTCAGATCTCAGTTCCTTTCGATATTCGCACATATCAGACTGTAACTGCCTGAATTATGGCCCCTGTTTGTACGAAAAATCGCGTTTTTAGCTTGTGGACCCTATAGAAGTCATAATTTTTATCCGATTTAAAAAACCGTATTATTATATCACCGTTTCACCCTAAGGACGACTGAGTTCGAATTTCGTGAAAATCGGCCCAAAATTGACAGACAAAATGGCTGCCGTTCGTTCTCAAATAGCGTAAGAATATGGTATATCAAGGTTGTGGACCCAATAGAGGTCACAATTTTTGTCCGATATTGATGAAACTTGAAATGTAAGTTTATAACCCAAAGATCTCGGTTCCTTTTGATATTCGCGCATATCATACCGTAACTTCCTGAATTATGGCCCATGATTATACGAAAAATCGCGTTTTTAGCTTGTGGACCCTATAGAGGTCATAATTTTTATCCGATTTAAAAAAACGTATTATTATATCACCGTTACACCCTAAAAACAGCTGAGGTCGAATTTCATGAAAATCGTCCCAAAATTGACAGACAAAATGCCCGCCGTTCGTTCTCAAATAGCGTAAAAATATGGTATATCAAGGTTGTGGACCCTATAGAGGTCACAATTTTTATCTGATTTTGTTGAAACTTGAATTGTAATTTTATAATTTTGGATCATAACTTCCTGAATTATGGCCCTTGATTGTACGAAAAAATCACTTCTTTTTTTGAGCTTGTTCTCTGTCCATCTCTTGCAAAATGTGGGTGTATCTTGCATGGCAACCACTTGTCAAATGATAAAATTAGATATTCCTGTGCTGCATGTATATAGAATAGTAGTGATAAAAAAGGGTTTTATCACCCGAAACCTTATGAAGAATAAACCATCTCTCATTTCTACTTAAAATCTGTACTACTGTTGAGCAGGGATTTTGAAATGTCCTTTACATTTAGATTACCTCAATGTTGTACAACATTGATACTGGAAATATTTTTTTTTTCAAGGAAGTGTTCAGATCACTTGAACTTATTGATCAATCATTTGTTTTATTGTAAATTATGGGAATTTTATACCCCAAGCAGATCAGATATGCACATAACTGTTACTGATAGAAAACTTCTGATGGAAAATATGTTAAATTATGAGTAGTGTAAACATTGGAAGAAATATAACAAAATTAAAAATTAATTTTAATCATGTTGACTATTTGTGTGCTGTAAGATATGTTTAAGAACAACACATTGAATTTATTTTCAGGCTTTATATTTACTGTGTAATCTGGGTTGCCATGGTGAAGCAGCCTGCTCTGTTCTCATATCTAAAGGTGTTGTAGAAACTGTAGCAGCCATGTTAAAAACACATGATGTAGAATTATTACATCTCGTACTTAGTTTTATTGAAATGATGCTACGACTTACAGATGAGGTAATCTTACAATTTGACCTTCTCATATATGATAATAATTTATTTCACCTTCCATGCCCAGGATTTATCAGTGACATTGGGGTACTGGAAATAATGAATAGATCCACAAGAATGAATGAGGCAATCAAATCATACAGATTTTAAAATAGTTTAACTGATCTTGAACGGTCGTTGGGGAGGAACATAGGCCTTCTTCTAGATTTAAATATATTATTACACTCATTAAATCTGACATCTGGAGATTAAGAGTTTTAATATATTTTAAAAAATTATAATATTTACTTTAGTGGAACAAACATTTACAGTACAGACAAAAGCTTTCTCTTGAAATGCAAAGGTTTATTTGTCTTCATATACTATTCAAAAAAAGTAGGGGATATTTGATTTTGGGGGCATAATACTAAAATATGCAAATGACTACGAAAAAAGTCACTATAGAACCTAACAGAAGAAACATTTCCAGTTACATGTGACGCCCAAACGCACCAATAGCTACTGCATGGAATGCAGGTGATGCTTGGGATCATCATGGGGGTCCAACCCAAGATTTGCACGACTCTGACTTTGAATGTTACAGTCATTGTGGCATTGAATTCCAGGGTGGAAACATCAGTTTAATTGTTTTAGTGACCAGAAAACAAATTTTGATATGCGTCGGCTTACCCAAAATGAAAGGTAACGTGCCCTTGGCATGCTACAGATCGGCACAACACAGGCGGTTGTGGCGCGGACGATGAATTTTTCTCAGTCTGTCATAAGCAGGCTATGGTCCAGATACCGTGATACACAATCTGTACAGGACAGACCACGCTCAGGTCGACCAAGGGCGACAACTCAAGCCCAGGATCGATTTATCCGTACCTTGGCCTTGAGAAATCGTGTCATCACAGCAAATCAGATCAGCGCTCGTCTTAAAACAGACACTGGTGTGAGAGTGAGTGGCCAGACGATTCGGAATCGACTGCATAGGGGTCACCTTCGCGCCCGACGTCCTCGCGTGATCCCTTGTTTGAGAGATCATCACATTCAGGCAAGACGTCGTTGGTGTAGGGATCGTCAACACTGGGATAATCGACGCTGGAGCAATGTGATGTTTTCAGATGAGTCAAGGTTCACTGTTGATTTTTTGGACAGACGTAGGAGGGTGTGGCGTCGTCGAAACGAGCGCTTCCAAGACGTTAACGTCATCAGACATGATCGATTTGGGGGTGGTTCTGTTATGGTGTCGGGAGGCATCACTGTTGCTGGAAGAACGGCTTTACATGTTGTTGCAGGGCGTGTTACAGGCCAGTTCTACCGGGACAACATCTTGGCAGTCCATGTTGTGCCGTTCGCACGACGTCATGGCCGCCGTTTCATCTTCCAGGAAGACAACGCAAGATGTCACAGGGCCAGGATCGTTACAGGTTACCTCCAACAACAGAACATCACCACATTACCTTGGCCAGCACTGAGTCCCGACCTCTCCCCCATCGAGCATGTCTGGGACATGCTTGGACAGAGGTTACGTCAACGTCAACAACGTCCTGCCAATGTCCAAGAACTTGCTGCTGCGTTGCAACAGGAATGGGACAATCCGGACCAAAATGACCTTAGACGTCTCATTAGGAGTATGCCACGTCGGATCAATGCTTGTTTGGCAAACAGAGGAGGATTTACCCGTTACTGACTTGGTTGTGATGCTGTGGTAACTTTGCTGTTTGACCCCGGGTATCATTTTACCCTTATAATGGTCAGTCTGTGCCTTACTTAGTCTAACGATCATTTGGAATAAATCGATGAATGTAAACTTCATTTCATTTTGTCATTTGTTTCTTCGTCAGTTTCATTAGGTGACTTTAATAACACTTAAAAATCAAATATCCCCTACTTTTTTTGAATAGTATATATTGGTTGTCACAAATATTTATTCTACTAAGCGGGAATAGTATGTAACATATTCGCTTGGTTTGATTACTTCAAAATTATACTTATACCACCTCAGTTAACAGGACTGATATAACTGTGACATGACAATTTTGTGCAACACAATTACAATTCCGCCAGTTTAGAATGTTCGTCACTAACAGTCAAGCATCCAATTTGTGTACGACCTTACATGATTCCATATAATTGTAGATGAGTTTGTGTAAAAAAAAAAGATTTGTCAATTATCAAGCCTGTAGAGGACAGTGTACATTAAAGGCTGAACTTCTTATCAATTCACAAGATTTTAATAGTACTTTTATTGTTAATTACCTGCAATGTCTGTTGGTTTTATGCCTTGTCCGCATGTTTGTCTTCTGGCATTTCATTTGCAATGTATGATATTGACTTATATTTTAGGGTAAGGCATTGTTCGAGGGAAGCGAAGGTGTAGCAAGATTAGAAGGTTTGGAATACCATACAGATGAAGTTACACGTAAACAAGCTAATGAACTATTAGAGACTTACTTCTACATAGATAATAATGAAGAGGGTGCAGAGGATGATATGGAATAGTCTATTAATATGTTTATAGTGTGCAAGTATAGAAATATATGTACATTGCCAAAACAGTTAGATGGGATCTAAGAAAAGTATGACTGTTTTCTGAATATTAGGGCTCTAAAAGGATAATTAAATATAGTAATGAATTGAAATGTATTATTGGAACATTATGAAAAATTTTTATCCATTGTATGTCTAAATGGCATATATATGGAAATGAGATTTTAAAAATCACAATTCCACCTATACTGTAAAGTTTGTACATTATATTTTAACTAGTGAAAAGCATTAGTTGTTTTATTATAGAGAACCACTTATTATCATTAACATTGTAAATATCTTCATAAATACCTATATTACAAGCAAGGTATACATCTTTTTTTTATGGTATATCACATTTATTTAGTATTAGGCATACATGTTTCTGATTTCATAACATTATTTCATTTGTCTTAATGCAGTATAATGTGCTGTTTTTTGTACTACAGATCCAAGTGGGAATTACTCAATTCCTTTATCTAAGGACAATAACCTGTTTTATATGATTTCATATTAACAGATTGTCTAGTCTTGAAAATTGCAAATAAAATCTAATCCTTAAAAAATTGTGTTGTTTTTGTATGCTCTATTTAATGTGAACATCATTTGGTTGATCTGTCCACAATATCTACAGGCTGGTGTTCTTAAATTTTTAAAATTTGTATAGATTTTTAGGAAATAGTTCTTATTTCATGTCAGAACTTTTAAGTGTATTACAACAACAAACAGGTGGGTTTATCTTCTTGAGTGTCAAGTTAAGCACCAACTAGGCTAAGTGAAGACAGATTAAGGTCACTTCTTTTAGTCAGCTAATTTAAAACTGTAGAGGGAGTTAAGATTTGCCCAGTGATACAACAAATGAGTAAAATTTACTCAATTATCCTAGTTTCTATGTTACCCACGGTGGTCTGGATAATAGGTTAGAATACTTCATAACCCGATTTCTCAATGGACAGTTTTGGGTTGATCAGCTCATCTTTTGCCGATGATTTAGAAGTTAGCCATGTTTGAAATTGTTTTTTTTTTTTTTTTAAAAAAGACCCCTTTTCCCGCGTGCAAAATGACCGTTAGGTCAGATCTAGGAACGGTCATTTTCCATAGCCGAAGGTCTCAACCGGCATATACGGCCGACGTGGAACCCATGTTTAGAACCATTTGAGAGTTCAAAATAAAAGATGCCTTTTATACGCCCACATGTTTTTTTGTGAACACTCCACAGACATTTATCATCTCATTTGTTTTGAAATTGATATGTTTACATTAGTGAGGTGAAGATGTCTATTTGATTTCAATAATTTCCGTTCATTTCTTCTGGATTATGTTCCCTGTTTCACTTTGTTGCACCTTGTGAACGATCTGATTATAAAAGTTATCATCCGATCTGTATGAAATTTATATGCATCATTTAAATTAATGAAACCAAGATGCCTATTAAATTTCAGCATCTAGAGTTATGGCCCTTGTTGAACGCTCTAACGACAAAAGTTATCTGATCTGTATGAAATTTATATGCCTATTATCCAAGGTCCATGTATATACATATTTGAAGTTTTTGATTGCTACATGTTCTTTCCCATATACCATGGACCTTATAATACAAGGTTTAAATTTTTTATTGCTACATGTTCTTGTCTTCGTTTGTATAAATTTACAACTATGATGATGACTGCTGACCGAAGCGTGCCACCAATGATTTACAATATACCGTCATGGCCAAGCCTTTGGGATTCTAAAGTTTAGGAACTGACACAATTTCTATGAATTTCTCAAATGTGAGATTGATAAACAACACCGAATGATTTGTTCAGTTTAACGTTAATGCCAATACAGGGGCGTAAATGTGGGGGGGGGGGGGGAGAATAGTCGGTCGCAAAATCAGTGCAGTCGGTCGCAAAATAAAAGCAGTCGATATCAAAATAGGTGCTCACTGCACACGTCACGCTACTCACGCAAAACTTTAGTATAAAATAACCTTGTCAACTTATCATGTTTGAAAAAATGATGTGTTTCACTCTTATTCTGTTGTGAGTATGTAGGTCTTAAGAACAAAATTTCCCCCAGGGAGAAAAATAGTCGGTCCCAAAAATTAATAGCTAGGTTACACATCTGAAATTTTTTCGCAACTGCGGCGCTCGATTCCATTATAACATCATTCTTCCACTCCTCTGTTGTCTTATACTGTCTCAGCACTATCATATTCACGGTTATACTGAACTGCCTAGTTATGTTAGTAGTACCACTGGCACAGTTGTGTGGGTCGTGGGACGTCAGACTATACAAAAGTTCTGTCAACTCTTGCAAAACAGGCGGAATTGACAGGGGCAGATCTCGAGATTTTGTCTAATTTACTCACATTTCTGGTCCTCTCGTCCACAAGAATTTCTCCCAGCAATGACCTCAAATGCCAAGATATTGACTCAATTTTTCAAAATTTTCTCAGGTTGCTCAGTCTTATAGGCACAATCATATATGACATAAACTTTTTGTCAACTTAAATAAAACTGCTTTCCAGCAAGACAACGATCGGCAAACAACTATATAATTATACAATACTGTCTATGTTCTACTGGGACGCTTAATGTTATAGCCAGTATTTTTTTGACATTCATTGTGGGGTGGGATTGTGGCTGGGGTGGCGCCCTAGAATTGGACACCCCCCCCCCCCCACACACACACACACACACCCCTATCTAGATCCGCTACTGCACATTGCCCCTACAAAACTCGCACCTGTGGTGCTCGCCTCCTGACTGCGTCACTCGTACTAGGGGTATGGGCATCAGTCGGTCGCATTTTGGCTAAACACCCCCTCAAACAAAATCGTTATGTACGCCCCTGTGCCAATAGCCCTGCGTATTGCTAATATGTTATTTTCTTTTCGTTATAATAAAGTTTACAATATTCATCATTATACTACCACTATTCGATAACTGCTATTGAAATCTATTGTTTTTATACAATATTCATCATTATACTACCACTATTCGATAACTGCTATTGAAATCTATTGTTTTTATACGCCCACATTTTCAACGAAACTTGAAATATAGGTTTATCACCCTAAGATCTCGGTTCCTTTCGAAATTGGCATGTATCGGACTGTAACTTCATGGATTATGGCCCCTGATTGTACGAAAAATCACATTTTTAGCTTGTGAACACTGTAGAGGTCACAATTTTTTATCCGATTTGGTTTAAACTTGAAATGTATGCTTATAACCCAAAGATCCCAGTTCCTTTCGATATTCGCGGGTATCGGACCGTAACTTCCTGACTTATGGCCCCTGATTGTACGAAAAATCGCGTTTTTAGCTTGTGGACCCTATAGAGGTCATAATGTTTATCCGATTTTTAAAAAGACGTATTATTATATCACCGTTACACCCTAAGGACGACTGAGTTCGTATTTCGTGAAAATCGGCCCAAAACTGACAGACAAAATGGCCGCCCCTCGTTCTCAAATAGCGTAAAAATATGGTATATCAAGGTTGTGGACCCTTTAGAGATCACAATTTTTATCCGATTTTGTTGAAACTTGAAATGTAAGTTTATAACCCAAAGATTTCGGTTCCTTCGATATTTGCGCATATCGAATTGTAATTTCCTGAATTATGGCCCTTGATTGTTAGAAAAATCACTTTCTTTTTAGCTTGTTCTCTATCCATCTCTCGAAAATGTGGGCGTATTCTAGTGATGACAACTAAGTTTTTACATAGCCAAGTATATGTCAAATAGAGCCTTTGAATACCGATTTAAGGTAAGACACTTGGTTAAGTGGAAAAATTAAGTATTTTTACTTAACTGTAAGAAAACCTTTGAATACGGACCCAGATCTTTATTTCGTTTCGTTTTTTTTAATACTTTCGATGGCCTACGCTACATGAAGATCTGGCCAGTTGTTTTGGGAGGGCGCGTCAAAGGTCATACGAGCGGCTTTTGACCCTATGACGTCAGACATTTGATTAACCAATCTACATTGATGTTTCTAGTGGATTACCCACAGTTTCGTGCATCCTTCAAATTAGTGGGGGATCACGTGGCTAAGTGGGTAAGACGCTGGCTCGCTAGCCTGGGGGTCGGGTGTTCGATCCCTGCATTGGCCGAGAAAGTTCATCCAGATTTTCCGGCGTGGTTCCCCCTTGTCAGTGATGCAGGACGGAGGGCCTGACAGGGACAGCTGTCTAGTCCTTCGGATGAGACGAAAAACCGAGGTCCCGTGTATACATTGGAATGCACGTAAAAGATCCCTTGGCAGTTGGAATTCGATATAAGAGTAGGCGATAGTGCCGCTGCCCGGGCAAAATTTCCCTCATAGCACACTGTATAGCGTATGCCTGTCTTCATTAGCCCAGTATAGGAGCAGAACAGTAGGACGTTAAACCCCATTTCATTTCATTTCAAATTAGTGAAACGAAGACGCCTGTTGAATTCCAGCAATTTCCGTTAATTACTTCTATAGTTATGGCGCTTGTTTCACTTTGGTGAATGACCTAACAACAAAAGTTATCATCCGATCTGTATATTTATTTATTTAGATTAGTGAAACAAAGAACCCTATTGAATTTCAGCAATTTCCGTTAATTAGGTTTCTGGCCCTTTTTATTAATTGTTTCACTTCATTGAACCCTGTGAACACTTTAACCACAGAAGCTATCCGATCTGTATGAACTTTATTTGCATTATTTAAATTAGTGAAAAGAAGAATCCTATTGAATTTTAGCAATTTCCGTAAGTTATGGCCCTTCTTTCACTTTGTAGAACCATGTGAACACTTTAACAACAAAAGTTATCATCTGATCTGTATGAAATTTATATGAATTATATTTAAAGTAGTGAATTTCAGCAATTTCCAATAATTACTGCTAGAGTTATCACTCTTGTTTAACTTTGTTGAACCTTGTGAACGCTCGAATGATGAAAGGTATCATCCGATCTGTGTGAAATTTATATGCATCACTTAAATTAGTGAACAAGGAAGCCTATTGAATTTCAGTAGTACCACTGGCACAGTTGTGTGGGTCGTGGGACGTCAGACTATACAAAAGTTCTGTCAACTCTTGCAAAACAGGCGGAATTGACAGGGGCAGATCTCGAGATTTTGTCTAATTTACTCACATTTCTGGTCCTCTCGTCCACAAGAATTTCTCCCAGCAATGACCTCAAATGCCAAGATATTGACTCAATTTTTCAAAATTTTCTCAGGTTGCTCAGTCTTATAGGCACAATCATATATGACATAAACTTTTTGTCAACTTAAATAAAACTGCTTTCCAGCAAGACAACGATCGGCAAACAACTATATAATTATACAATACTGTCTATGTTCTACTGGGACGCTTAATGTTATAGCCAGTATTTTTTTGACATTCATTGTGGGGTGGGATTGTGGCTGGGGTGGCGCCCTAGAATTGGACCCCCCCCCCCACACACACACACACCCCTATCTAGATCCGCTACTGCACATTGCTACTGCACAAAAGTTATCATCTGATCTGTATGAAATTTATATGAATTATTTAAAGTAGTGAATTTCAGCAATTTCCAATAATTACTGCTAGAGTTATCAC